AAGCAAGGATTGGTTGAAGTTAAAGATGGTTGCATAGTTACAGGGGAGACTTTGAGACCACAAGGTTGCAGCTGGCAGCTGCTAGCAGATGTTTTGAGAACAAGGTGGTGCCCTTAAGTCTGATTATAGTTCAGAAATTCGAGTTCTTAGTCATACAGGCACGTGTCAGAAACCACATCCATAATGGCCATTTGGGATGCTTGGACCACAGTTATCCCATTTTGATTTTTTAAATGCATTCTTTTCTTTAATGGTTAAAGATGTACAATGCATGTTTAATAGGCCACAAATTAGGCTGTTCTAGTTGGCATAAGGTTTAAGTTAAATCATGTTGAAGCCAGAATGACTTTCCCACACCTCTATGTGAAAATTTTTCTCATCAGCAACCAGAAGGAAATATTTTTTAAAAGCTCTGCGTTGTATTTAGATCTAGAAAATAGTGGAAGCAGTTTTAATTTTGTTTACATTTATTATAAACTTCTTCAGGAGGGAAGTCAAATTATAATTGCTGTTGCAAAAACAAAGACTGCTGGGGTTTTTATATTTTGGAAAACCTAGGGAAGCAGGCAAATAATTTTAAAGTGTTTCTTTTCTTTTCTTTTCTTTTTAACATTTTTTTATTGAGTTATAGTCGTTTTACAATGTTGTGTCAAATTCCAGTGTAGAGCACAATTTTTCAGTTATACATGAACATACATATACTCATTGTCACATTTTTTTTTCACTGTGAGCTACAACAAGGTTTTGTATATATTTCCCTGTGCTATACCATATAATCTTGTTTATCTATTCTACATATGCCTGTCGGTATATACAAGTTTTGAACTCCCAGTCTATCCCTTCCCAACCACCTCCCTTAAAGAGTTTATTTTGAGTTAACATCTCAATATATGATGTCATAAATATAATTAATAAAATAAAAAAGTAATCACTTCTTTTGAACTACTACTATGCTTTGAGCTTATTCTTCATACCTTTATAATAAAACGTTCAATTATACACCAAAGTATTTAGTATAACAAGCCCCCTTAAAGCACCCAGCCTTAAAAAGGTGACATTCTGCCAAATCTTGTTTCAGCTATTCCCATTTTTTCCCCTAGAGTATTGTAAAGCACAATCAAGACATCACGCTTATTTCACTTCATCTGTAAATGTACTTAATAACACACTGCTTTTTGAATCTACCCAGATGAATAAATGCCGTCTCCATATTACGATGCAGACACCCTAAGGGCAAGCACGGTGTCTTTTTTCATTCCCATTTCCCGAATAGCTTGTCTCAGTAGAAAATTTTATACAAAAAAAAACTACGCTCTGAGGATTTCTTCATCAATGCATGGCCTCAGACAGTGGTTCTTAAACTTAAGCGTGTATCTAGATCACCTGGAGGGCTTGTCAAAACAGATTGCTTGGCCCCAACTACAGTTTCAGATTCAGTGCGTCCGGGGTGGGGCCCAAGTATTTGCATGTCTAACGCGTTTCCAGGTAATGATGATGATGATGACGAAATGATGAACCAGAATCACACTTTGAGAATTTTCATTAGAACAAAAAGATGTCAACATTCTAAACTTGCCCATTAATTATTCAAACATTAATCATATGGAAGGACTTAGGAGGAATACAGGGAGAAATAACTTTTATAAATCCCTACTCTCATGGAGATTATACTGTCTGAGCAGCGCATAAAAGAGAAATACAAACATGGGAACTATTAAGAAACAGACGCTGGAATCTCATGTCAGAAGATTCTTATTTAATTGGTATAGGTAGGCAGCAGTTTTTTTTAAGCTTCGAGGTAATTCCAATGTGTATATATGTAGTATAATACCAGGACTCACTGGAGAGGCGATCAGAATTTGTCCGAGTTACGAAGTGGATTTTTCTAGATAGTTTAAGTGGAGAGAGCCTTCTCATTTTCCAGGTTGGGGGTTGGGAGTTGGGGAGGAGGGTCATCAGGTTCCAAATGCTCTTTCTGGTCTTTCCAAACATTGAATTTCACGTAAAGATACTCAGAAGTATTCAGAGTGTATATAGCACAGTTTGTACCTCTCTCCCACTTATTAGTGGTACCCTCGGACGAATCAACCTGTAAGTTCTCAGTCTGTAAAATGGTGATAATAATTATACCTACATCACAGTGTTAAGACAATTAAATGATTTTAATCTATACAGAAGGACCCTTAGAGCGAAGCTTAGCACGTAAGTGCTCAGTGAAGGACAATGATTATTTATTGAACATCATCTACATGCTGGGCAGGGAACTTGAATCAGAATGCTTCGTTTGCATTTGTATCCTTTTAATTTTACAAAGCTCTAGCTTATTTTTCATCACATTTCCTCCTTTTAATGCCCTTTGATATGGGTAAGGAAAGTTTAATTTTGCCCACCTGACAGGAGAAAGATACTGAGTGGTATTTCAAGAGTGTGAGAGATAGTACCAGAATTGACTATTTGAAACTCCCAAAGTGTGCTCTTTACAAAAAAAAAAAAAAAGAGTTGAAAACTGAAGAATTTGTTCAGATAATTTGCAACCCTGTCCACACATATGTACATGTTCATAGAAATCTCAACGATCTTACTTCTCTCATTCCCAGATTATCCACAAATGGGATGTCTAATCCATTCATCATCTGTTCATCTACTTGGAGTCGTATTTCTAGTCAAGGAGTGTTAGAAATATGAGGTTCTAACTCCATGTACTGAAGAGAACCCTGCATTTAGGGGAGGTTCTTTCATTCTCCTAAACAATATCCAGAAAGTGGAAAACATAAAGCCAGTTGGAACAAGAAAGTCCTCTTCTCCAACACACACGTATACTGGAAAAGTTCATATAGCAATTAGCATGTTCCTTTCATGTCACAGGTACTTGGTGACATAGTACATATATTACATTCTGGATCTAAACAATGAAAATCATAGGAAAAAGACAAATGTAATTGGAAAACATGAGTAATCGTTAATAGAGACCTAAAACCTCAAACCTTCCAAAGTTTCCCTCTGCTCGTTTCTATAGGCAAGGACCACACCAAAGGATACAAATCCTGGATTAAACAAAGTGGTCATTACTATGCAACCAGAGGTGAGTTTTCTGTATGATTGAAAACAGATGTGTGGAAAATCATTCCAACACTTTAAACACAATAATCTTCTTAAGCTTTGAAAAATGCTGTGCTCTTTTGAATTTACCTTTTAATCTCTTCAACATTCTTGCTTGTATTGAGCTATTTCATTTGTAAATGGTGCTATTTTGATTCAGCAAGAGTTACAGTGAGACACCAAGATGTCTCAGTTCATGTTTAAAAGTCCAAGCACAGTCATAGACTACATCCCTACATCTCTAGAAATAATGTGAGTGTACAGACAAATTTCAAGTATAGAATTATTTTTAAATGAATTTAAAGGTGCAATATCTAATATAGTAGGTTAGGGGCACACAAAATCAAAGCAGAATTATTATCATTACTAATACAAGAGTAAAGTAATACCTTTGGATCTAATAACCTCAATTTGACATAATAGGAATTAAAAGTTATTCTAAAGAAAGAAGTGTGAATTTAGACATTATAACAGGAAACAAAATTTTTGTGCATTTTAACAGTAACTGTTAGAAATTATTTCGAGCCCCAAATAACAGAAAACCCTAATTGGGTTGATTTATACAAACAGAGGCTTATTTCACAAAGCAAGAAATATGGTGGTAGGAATCAAGGCTAAATGTGTCTCAATAACACTACTGGGGACCCAGATTCTTCCTTCCTGCCAATACTTTTAGGGTGTAGGGTCTTCATCCTCTTTTTTTGTCATCTATGTCCTAAAGATGGGTGCCAGGTCTCTAAAAATTTCTGGCAAGAAGAAGTGGGATGAAAAAGCCAAAGGTACATGCCAGGTGAGTCTTTTTTAAAAAGCCTCTCCTTCTTTAAAAAAAAAAGCGTTTTCCAAAGTGCCACCCAACAGCTTCCATGTGTGACTCCAACAGGGTCCCCTTAGACCAGCACTATCCAACTGAAATATAATGCAAGCCACAAAAGGGAGCTGCATATATAAATTTAAACTTTATATAGCTGTGTTAAAAAAGTAAAAAGAATGAGACAAAATAGATTTAAATCATGTATTTCATTTAACCCAAAATATTGACATGTGATCAATAGTTTAAAAATTGAGATATTTCATCTTTTTTTGCACTGTTCTGGAACTTAGTGTGTATCTCAACTTAGACTAGCTCTATTTCAAGTGCTCAATAGCCACATATCACTGTACTGGATAGGATGCCTCAACCCAATCACCAAAGTGACTAAGGAGAAAAAGTGAATTGGGGTGGACCAGTGAACAGCAGTGTCTGCCTTCTTGACATTAACAGATATTTCACTTAATGAGAAATGAATTGACCTTGATTTAACCAAAGTCATGATAGTTCTCTACAACCCTTGAATCTGGGATTATTCTACTGTAGGACAAACTGTCTTTCAAAGACAAAATAATTTTACCTCTACTAATGAAGCATTTATAGTAACACTTGCAATTTAAATTTTTTCTCTCATTCAGCTTGCTGCATCTTGACAATTTCTGGCAAGCAGAGTTATTTTAGGTCATGCTTGTTTATAGTCCCCCTTTCATAGTGGTGGTTACTATTACAGCCATACACATCATTTATCCTCTAACTGCTGTTTCCCAAACATGCTTCACGCCCCAGTGCTCAGAGTGGCACAGTTGTGCAAATTTTACATAATTGTCAAAGTGTTTAGGAGGGGACAATTCACTTTTCTCTACTGCTGCTCAACTTTCTCTATCCTACCTACATTTCCATCACTTAAATTTTTCTCATTCCATCTGCCTTGCCTCGTTTTTATCCTTTACATCTTTATTTTAAAATTATTCTTACCATACTTTAAAGCACACAAATTCGACTACAGGAAAGTTTTGGTGATAACTTTTTCTGAAATAGGAAGAAATATCTGCAATATCATAACTTTGGGTGGGTATAGGTGTTAAGATAAGGTCCTTCTGCTTTCAAGATGACAATTCAGCGTTCCAGTTTTTTTCTCAGAGGGAACACTGAGTGTATCTATATATGGCTACTGTTACAGGAGGGATCATGAGTACATTCCCTGCGGGCCAATAAGTGTGCCAGCAACCATAGGGAGTAGCCAAGAATTCGGCAGAAGAGCGACTCTTAAGACAAACAAAAGTAGCTCAAGAACAGCGTTCCTAAACTGCGGAGGCTTCTTATTTCCTGGGTCCTCTTTCTTCTGCTTCTCCATTCTCCTAGCCTGCGTCCAGCCCTCAAACCTCTCCTATCCTCTCCCTGCCTCCACTGACTGTTCAGGACTGACCCAAACTCCCAGCCTCCCTCTGGCCTCCTCGGGTTCGTACACTGGTACCCGCCAACATCCCCCATCCCACCCAACCACGGCCGCGCCCGCGCCTGCGCAGAGCCTCTTCTCGCGCGAACGCGCTGCCATCATCCCCGACCTGCTCGCCAGCCGCGGGGATGCGAGGTCAGCGGTAGCCTGTTGCAGCTCTTTTCGTGGAGCGACGGTTGTCGTCTGTATCTCCGAACGCCTCCCACTCTACGCAGCCCCGCTAGTATTCCTCGGGATCCGGCCCATGGGGCCTCACACCAGGCCCCAAACAGTAACCTTAAGCAACTAGACCCGGGAAGGTCCTGCGCGGCTGATACGCGGGCGCGCGGGCGGCGAAGCCTTTGGGCGGAGCCCCGCCCCTCAAAGCCGGCTTCCTGCCTCTGCATTGGTCCGGGCGCCCGTCAGTCTCCGCCCATGGGGCCGCGCCGGCAGTGCTCCCCGCTGCCTCGCAGCTCTACGCGGATTTACTGCCTATCTCGGCGGGTGTCCAGCCGCCCCGGCCAGTCCGAGCCTGAGCTGGCGCCGGCTGCGGGAAGCCTCAAGAAGGAGAGGGCCGGACGCGGCCAGAGCTGAGCATCGTCCGGGTGGGCTGCGAGGCCGCAGCCTCTCCGCAGGCAGCACCACCTGTCGCAGGGCGAGACGTCGGGTAAGGCTCCGCACGGCTCGCAGCTGCGGGCGGCCTGGCGCGGCGGGGCCCGGGCGGGAGTTCGGGATGGGCGCGGGCGCCGGCCTCCTCACGCCCAGTTCGGGGAGCCGAGCGCGGACCCGCCGCAGGCTTCCGCGCGTGCGGCCGGCAGGGTCCCCGCTTGGCGATGGGAGGGCGGGGTGGAGGGAAGGGGCTCGCCCAGTCTCGGGTGCGAGCGTGGGGAGAGGTCGGGTCTCGGCGACCGCCTACTGACCATCGGCAGCTCTTTCCTGGCTCCCGGTTTGGGGACGCGACTTCCCGGTCGAGACTCGCTGGTCGCAGGGCGCCCCCCTTCCCGCCCCATGGTAAGGCCCCGTGGCCTCCGTAACGGAGCATCTCTTCTACCCTTCATTTCTGCGCCTTTTCGAAACCGCTTTATCAATAGGTATCTTTTTATGCAGGGATGAATTAATGACAGGAGCTAGGTATTTTGTTTGTGTGTGTAGTGACCGCTCCTTGCTTTAAAGGAAGTTTGTTGCAGGCTAGAAAGTTCTACGATTGGGACGGTTCTGTCCATTCTTATGAAATGACATCTGTGGACCAGAATTGGCAGGTGTTTCTTTGACGCTGGTGTTAACCATTTCTGCTTGTGTGGTGTTACATTGAGGTCCTGGATTTGACTTTCTTGGTTCCAAAGATAATTCTAGAAAATTTACGTTGCCTTTTGGTGAGAAGAAAGGTAATCACCATAACAAATCTAAGCAGGAGTGCTTCCTTACAAAACGTGTGTTACCTCACATCTGTTTGATTTACCTTCTTAAATTTTTATGGCAATCACTTGGAAACAAAACAGTTGATAGCATTGTTATTTCTTGTAGTGTTGCCGTTCATAACGGTGGAAGCACGTATTAATTGTTAATCTTGGCCAAGCGCTGTTCTCTACAAGAATTATCTGAAAACAATGCTCTGAGGTTGGTACTATTATTATCTACAGTTTACAAATGAAGGTTAGGAAAGTTAAGTAGGTAACTTGCCCAAGATCACAGGTTTTAAGTGGCAAAGCCTGGATTCAAACTCGGGCAGGGTAACTTAACAGCTCCAGCCCCCTCTTAACCTTGTTTGCTTCTTAAGCATTGTTCATGTTGTAAAGCTGGTTGCAATCTTGTATTCATAAATTTTGATCTATAGTTGCCAAGCATTCTGGAAATTAGAGGAGAACCCATCATGCCCTTACCTCCCTCCCCCATATACATACTTATATATACATATGTGTGTGTGTTTATATGTACACATACATACACACACTATAGTAGTTACACAAATGATAGATAAATATGTAGCTACTGTAACTAGTTGAGTTACAGGTTCTGTTACATGGTTTGCAGAAATAAAGGGGAAAAGTTTAGCTTTATCTTCTAATATTGGACCTTTAAATAATCAACTTTAAGCATGAATTTGTAACCTGTATCTGAGTCTTTTATGGTAGTTATAAAGACTTAATTAATTAAAAAGTTAGGTATAGAGGCCAGAAGTGCTGATATACCTTTATCATATGTTAATAGGAAATTTTGTATGCTTTTGTAGAAGTTCTTCATCCTCTTGAGAGTTAAAATGTATTCTTGCTCAGTAGTTATTCCTGAGAGAGAACTGCTTACAGATTTCACTCTTAGAAGGTGTTTATGTATAATATTTTGTCGTTCAATATATTGGTTATGAAAACATATTTAAAAAATCATAAAGGAAAAACTCATTTACCATTTGAGAATTTCTTTTGTAAATTAACTTCTGCTATAATGATATTCAGGCATAAATTATATTTAATTTCATATAGAAGTAAACTATTCTAAACTGTATTATATTTTATATTAAGTTAAACTATAATTAATTATAATTTATGTTGGTGAATTTCAGGCCAACCTAACAGCCATATTTTAAAGCATAAATAGCACTAAAATGTATAATGTTTACTAAGGATCAGTATTAGAGGACAAAATTCATGCTAAATATTAAAATTACTCTACATTTGATTTAATAAAAAAGGTAACACTTTTATTAAAAGTTAACTGTTTTATTTGAAAGTCACTATTTTGATTATATTGTTGCATATTATATCTGCCTTGGTCAATATGTACAAATTTAAAAAGTTATGAAAAATATTCTGTAAATATTGTTTAGAATGACATTTGATGTTGCCTGGATCTGTATGCCATCCAAATTCTCAGTCTTGACGTAGAGATTTAACTTGAAATAGTTTAATTAATTGTTAACTGTGATTATCCTCATAGCCTCTTAATATGGGTTTCACATTAGATGTTAAAGCAGAAACAGGCACCTTCCAACCACCTTAGTTTATTACTACTACTAACAATAGTGCTTAGATAACTGTCATTTATAGAGCACTTAGAGGGCACTGTGATAAGCATCTTACATGGATTATCTAATTTTAATCTTAAAATGGCCCTATTTAGGAGGTCCTATTGTTGATCATTCCCATTTGAGTAATGAGATAACTAACTCAGAGAGTGTGACTTAACTCTGACTTGAGATCACAAAGGAGCTATCAGCAGCAAGACCAGGATTTAAGTCCAGAGGTTTGATTCTAGGGCTTGCCCTTGACCTCTCTGCCAGATTGCCTGGGTATGGATTTTACTGAATAGACCTTCAGGTGATGTGGTCAAGCTCTTCATGATGATGATAAAGCTCTAAGGGGCTGATACTTTATGTATGTCACCATTACTACCCACAACTGCAAAATACAGCTTCCCCCTTCCCTCTTTTATTGACAAGAAAAGTGAGACTTTTTATTCATTCATTCATTTATTCATTCATTTATTACTGGCTGAAAACAACACGTTTATGATCTCGCAGTTTCCATGGGCTCGGAGTCTGTGCACTGCTTAGCTGGTCCCCTCCTCAGGACCACACAAGGCTGTAATCAGGATGTGGTCCAGGCTGTGTTTTCATCTGGAGTGTCTGAGTCTTCTAAGTTCACTGGTTGTTGGTAGAGTTGTTTCCTGTGGCTGTGGAGCTGAGGCCTCCCAGAGACTTCCCTCTTCTCTGATAGACAGCCCTCTCCACAACATGGCGGTTTACTTCTTCAAGGCCAGTGGCAGATGTCTGCTGCTGCCTTGAGTCTTTGATTTTTAAAAATGGCCTGCCTGATTGGGTCAGGCCCACCCAGGATAATTCCCCTAATTTAAAGTAAGCTGTTAGGGAATTTAATGGCATCTGTAAAATCCCTTCGTGGAAAGACTTAGAAGGTGTGTACCTCAGGGGGCAAGAATCTTAGGGCCGTCTGCATACTGTAGGCCCCTTGTTGAAATCTGCCCCACCCAAAATGAAAAGTAAGACTTTTAAATCAGGGTTTCTCAGACTTTTGGACTTTGAGGGCAAGTCTGAAAAAGAAAAAGTTTGTGTCTAGGGAGGCAATTGGGACATAAGATGACCAGCTTTTAGTTATGTCAAATTATGGACCTTTTAAAAAAACTACTACAATCTATCATCCCCATCCTTTCAAAAAAGAAAGGACATTTTTACCACCAAAAAGGGAGGAAGATCGTTGTTACAACATGAAAACAAAGATCATGAATTTAGTATTATGAAAAACCATGTTACATTGTCCTACTTCTCATTTGGATATAGACCAGTGAAAAACGTGTTTCAGATGGACACCAATTCAGAGACCGTTTGGGACTGCTTGGGGGACACAGTTGATTCCAAACTGGTGATTAGCCGAGTCCCGATTCAGACTGACTGCAGAGCTGTGGTCACAGCTCCCTGTCATGACCTCTCCCTAGTTTTGGTCTCCATTGCGCTGAACTTCTGCTTTCTACCCCCAGCTAGGGAGGGGGCCGGGGAGCGTCATCTCCAGCAGCCAGTGGCCTAGCAGTTTCAGTCCCAGTCTAGTTTATAAATACTATCCAGAGAGTACGTTCCCTAAGCCCTCCCCGCCCAGGACAAGGCAGTGTGAATGACACACCAGGGGGAGACCCCACAGGCTTATCGCGATATCCAGCAAACTCTCAAGCAGCTGGATTTGTTTGTTTTGTTTTTGTATTTATTCAAAGTGAGAAGCCCCACTTCTTCTGTTTCCTGTTTTTACTTCACTCATTTTTACAGTTCTTCATCCTTTATCTGTATAACATGAGGAGGCAGGTGTGGGTTTTCCCCATTTTTTTCTTGTTGCCTCCATTTGATACTAAGCCTGCCTGTCTGTCTCTGTCTCCTTAGTCCTTGGTTCTAATTTTGGCAGAGATTGTTTCTTTCCTTAAGTTGGTTTTTCATTTGTGTCTGCTTGTTTTAAGGGCACTATTAAATTACTTTTATATTTTATTTTACTCTATCACTTAGTAATACAGTAATAAGTTGAGTGATGTAACACCTTACTCTTTAAGTCTTTAATACTTTCTGCTTCTGTTTTCTCATTTTGTATCTGTTCTGTCATATAGTTGTCTGTGAGGTAGATTTGGCAGGTAGAATTTACTTTATAGACTAAATTCACTATTTGATAGAAGCAGAATTCTAACCAGGAGCTGAAAATAGAAGACTTCGTATGTCAGAATGCTGAACTTAACTACGAAAGGAAAAACTCCTGCTCACCGACTCAATTCTTCTGGCGGCCGAATGTGTTTCCCCCCCCACACACACCCAGCAGTTCTCCAGTTCTAGGCAGACACTGACTGGGTGTGCTCCAACTTAATTCTAACACTGTCTGTCTGGAGATAGCTGCAGAGCCCACAGGTTAACAGGCTCAGTCTCAAAAGACTGCCCCCACATCAGATGCCAATCGCAAGTCCCAGGTTTTGACCTATACTTCTGACCAACCAGCCATAAATCAGGGCTTCCCACAACCCCTGCCTCAGGTTAGGTAATTTGCTGTAATGGCTCACAGAACTCAGGGAGACACTTTACTTACATTTACCTGTTTATTATAAAAGGCTACTACTTAGGAACAGACAGATGGAAAAGATACACAGGACTAGGTATGGGGTGGGTGGAGGTTGGGGAGGGCATAGCGTGTCCTTTCCCTCTGAGCTTGCCACCCCCGGCACCTAGAAGTGTTCACCAACCTGAAAGCGCATCAGCTTTCTGTTCAGAAGTTTTTGTGGATCTTAAACTCCATCACTCCCACCCCCTTTCCCAAGGGTCCTGGAGTGGGGGTGAAAGTTCCACTCTCTCATCACTTGGTCTTTCTGGTGACCAGCTCTGTTTGGAGGTTATGTAGTGGCCTCATCCTAAGTCACCTCATTAGCATAAGCTCAGGTGTGATCAAAAGGGGCGCCATATAAAGAGCAGAAGATCCTCCTGTCACTCAAGAAATTACAGCGATTTTTAGGAGCCCTGTGCCAAGAACTGACGACTGAGACCAAATATATTTCTTATTATACCACAAGTACTGATTGCAAAATGTATTTTTTTCCAAATTGTCTTTTATTTTATTTTTTTTGATTGTCTTTGATTTTAAATAAAATAAAAGATACTCCATACTATTTTAGATTTGCCTATCTCACCAATATGCTGCAATACTAATCTAGTCTTTTGGTACCAAAGTTTTAATTGTGATAAATAATGCTGTCTCTCCTGGAAGAACCACACGAACATGATCAGTGCTACAGTTTCAATTTCTATCTTTTCAAAATTTATTTTGAAATAATTTGAAAGACTTGGTTGTAAACATCATACCTCTTGGCCTCTTAATACTTCACTGTGTATTTTCAAAACAAGGGTATCTCTTACAGAATTCAGAAAATTTTAAGTTAATGCTTTTATGTAAATTACAATGTATCTTCCAGTTTTGCCAGTTATTCTGGTAATGTCCTTTATAACATTTTTTTGGATCAGGTTTTGCATTTAGTTGTCCTGTCTGTTTAATCTTCTTTAAACTGCAATAGTTCCTTAGTATTTTTCATGACATTAACACTTTTTAAGAAAACCAAGCCATTATTTTGTGGTATGTCTCTCATGGTTCTATTTTATTATCATTGAGATGTAGCTGAGATAAAATATTGTGTAAATTTAAGGTGTACACCACGTTAATTTGATACATTTATGTATTGTAATATTGCCAGTAATTAGCACCTCTGCACATTAGGTAATTATAATTTCTTTTTAGTGATCAGAATAATTAAGTTCTAGTCTCTTAGCAAGTTTGATGATTATAATACAATATTGTCTGTATTCACTATGTATTAGATCTCTAGGACTTCTTACCACTTACTACCTCTTAGGACTCTTGTTGAAAGTTTGTACCTTTAAGCCACATCTATCCTATCCTTCCTCCCAATTCCCATCTCATGATTCTTGATGTGTTTATGATCATATACGTTTCTTGGTTTTATGGCCATATTAGGTAGCACGTTTGTATGAGGGATCCAGAAGAGGTAAATTCATAAAGACAGAAAGCAGATTGGTGATTGCAGGCACCAGCAGAGTGGGGAAATGGGTATGGTGTTTCTTTCTGGGATGATGAAAATGTTTTGGAACTAGACAGAGGTGGTTGTACAAAATTATGGATTTTCTGAATCCCCCTGAATTGTTTAAAATAGTTAATTTTATGTTATGTGAATTTCAGCTCCTTAAAGATTAACTTCAAAAAATCCCAATGTAAATGGTTTTGCTGCACCTCCTTATACAGCCCATGGATTTCTCAACAAATAGAAATTCCATTAAAAAACTATTGGATGATAATTACAATGGTTTATAATGATTACAGAAATAAATGGGCATTGCAAATTGATTTTTAGAGGGAGAATTGATTGGTATGCAGAAGAGTCTATTACATTCCCATCACTAAATATTTAAGGTTTAATGTATTATGTAGTTTTCTATTTTGAAATTTTTTCTTAATGTTTGTGATGGATGTGAAAGGCCAAAAATGTGTTTTCTAGCCAATTTGCATAATTTTTTATATTAAATTACAGATTTTTAAAAATAAATGAATAAATAAAAACAAAAAACGTAGTACATTGAGTTTAAATGTTGAGTATATTAGTACCGTAAAAATCTAAGTCTAAATTTAAAATCTGGATAGCTTCTCTTCCTCTGAATGTGTGTGCTCCAGGCTTTCCTATTATTTACTTTTCCACCTTCAGCCTGAACTCTCCCATACCTGTTTACACTGAACTAGATGTTTTCTTTTTCCTTAATTTCTTGATTTCTTTCTCATGACTCCTAAGTGGAGATTCATACCTGGCCACACTTAATGTGGATTAGAAAAAAAGGTGAATGTGTAGCACACTGTAGTGGGTAATAAATACATAAAGAGTAGCAGTGACTGTTATCCAAGGACTTAACAATGTTATCAGAAAAGTAAATCCTTGCCTCCACCTTGCCTTGTAACAACAATACCTTGTTGTTGCTCTTTTACAATGCCTTACAACCTGTAGAAACATCAATGTATTTTGAAAAGACATTTTCACTCGTGGGAGGTTAAGCTTTCTAAATCTGCTTTTGAAAACTGATACCTGATATACATGCAGTTCTATAGTGTCTCTCATCATCTTTATTTGCTTTGCTTTTCCCAGGTGAAAGGAAAGATGTTGTCCAGGTTTCGAGTAGTTGCCACTTCTTGTACGCTGGCATGTCGTCATTTGCACCTAAGAGAAAAAGGCAAGCCACTTATGTTGAACCCAAGAACAAACAAGGTTAGTGACATTAATACTCACATGCATTTTCTCTCTTCCTGGTGAAGGTTTGTTGTATTTTAGATTGATAAAATATGAAAGTTTTGTATTTTGTAGCTTTATTCTAAAACTATTCAGAAGTATTTGTTTTTTCTGCATGAACTTTTCTCCACACTGCAAGAATCATGGCTGTTTTATACCTCCCAGATTTCACCCTCAACAATTTCTGATACCCAAAAAGGATTGACTTTATTTTTCTATTTCTAGCTAAAAAAAAAAAAATCCCCAGAATAACAGATTGGCCAGAACTTCCAGCCAGATTTGTTATATTTAGATGTACTCCGCTCAAGTCAGGTACTTATCCTGGACCAATCAGTTGAGTCTTTGGAAGATGGGGTCAAATTGTAAAATTAAATCTTATCTAATGTCCACCCACACCCCACCTTCACCCAGCTTTTTGGGCACAAATCATTGCACACAAATGATTTTGCCCATTAATCACACTGCTGATTCAAAGGAGAGACCTCTGACCCTTTTTTCACTCTTGGGGCAGAAGTGATGGGCAGTACTGAAGTCTTGCCTTGCCTTCATTCCTTATCCAAACTGGGTTCAGTGGGCAAGTTCCTCTGTATTTTTTTGTGGCCATATTAAATAGTAAGTAAATACAATTCTGAAGATTTCTTAGTGGAAGCTTGTAAGAGTTTAAATTGGGTTTATTGTAATATATGAATTTACTTTTTGGGAAAGGTGCATTCAGATTAAGGTGTGATTTATTTTAAAACAACAGTCATCAAAAAATTCCCCAATCCCATCTGTTTCCCATAATGGGGAGGGGTGGAATAATTGTGTAATATGATACGTTTGACCTTCAAAGGAAAATTTGACCAGGGAGCACACAGATCACTTTATCTTTGCATTGTTGATACCTGGCACAGAATAAGAGTTCAGCAAGCAGTTAATTATATGAAGCTTATTGAGGGATATTCTAACCCTCTCTTGTTTTTACCTCACCTCCCCAAATCTTGCTTGCTCTTCAAGAAGCAGCTCATTCAAAATCGAGTTCTCCTGTAGAGTCTTTTCACACTATCATAGACTGGAATAACCCCTCCCTCTCTGAAACCCTATAACAGTTTATATCTTCTTGTTCTTATGGCAAGTAATCAATATCCATTGGTTTGTGCATCTTTTCATGTCTTAAGCTGTCATTGAAATGATATTATTTACGTCTTTATGAATTTATATTTTTAAAGTATACTTCAGGTTCCTTTTGGGCAGGGACTGTTTTAAATGTTTTGTATCTTTTACAATGCCATGGTTTAGTAAACATTTGATAAATATGTTGGTTTTATTTTTGTCTTTATAGAAGCTATTTAAAATGTACTTTGAGGGGTTATGGTTTATAAACTTCATTAAGTGGCAGATGAAGTTGAAAGAGAAGAATAGTCTAAATGCGTTATAGTACTTCTATAAAGAATATAAAATCTAGCGTCTGGCCTTCTGAAATCTCTAAGGTTGGTTGGGTAGTATCTGTATGGTTACCTCATTGAAGGATCACTTCTGGAATTCCCTTAAGCATTAGGAAGAGTTTTTTTGATGTGTGTGTTTAAGAAGGAACACAGACTAGTAATTTCCAATTTGAGAGTTATGCATGAATTCCTTGGGGATTTGCCATGTAAAGAAATCAGGTTTGTGTTTCAAACATTATTGACTAAATAATTTTTCACATATTTATAAGTACTGTTTTAAGAGTATTTATGCTGTTTGACACAACATTGTAAAATGATTATAAATCAATAAAAATGTTAAAAAAATACATTACGATCAATTTGGTGAAAAAAGAGTATTTATGCTGTAATTAATAAAATAGTTATTAAAGGCAGTACTGAATTCTTAATCTTTTCAAATGTATATCTGTTATTTATGTCTGTAAAACTTACTATGGTAAAGTAAACGTAATGTGCAATTTACCGTTTTTTTTAACACCTTTATAATGGTATATACTTCCTGCACAGTAAACTACACATATTTCAGATGTACATTTTGATAAATTTTGATAGATGTTTACACCCTTGGACACCACACCACCACCACAATCAAGATAGCTAACATCTCTCCCCAAAGGGTACAATTTTCAAATTACCAATTTATCCCTTCCTACTCTCTTTACTCCCTGGTCACCATAAATCTGTTCTTTATGAGTCTGTTTCTGCTTGGTAGATAAGTTCCTTTGTGTCCTTCTTTTTTTTAGAGTCCACATAAAAGTGATGTATGGCACTTTTCTTTCTCTTTCTGGCTTACTTCACTTAGAATGACGATTTCCAGGTCCATCTATGCTGCTGCAAATGGCATTATTTTATTCTTTTTTATGGCTGAGTAGTATTCCATTGTATATATATATACCACATCTTCTTTATCCAGTCATCTGTTGATGGACATTTGGGTTATTTCCGTATCTTGGCTGTTGTAAATATTGCAGCTGTGAACACTGGGGTGTATGTGTCTTTTTGAATTATGTTTTTCTCTGGATATATGCCCAGGAGTGGGATTGCTGGATCATGTGGTAACTCTATTTTTAGTTTTTTTAGGGAACCTCCATACTGTCCTTCATATTAGCTGCACCAGTTCACATTCCTACCAGTGGTGTAGGAGGGTTCGTTCCTTTTTCTCTGCACCCTCTCCAGCATTTATTGTTTGTAGGCTACAATTTACAGTTTTAACCATTTAAAGGTGTGCAGTTCGTTGACATTAAGTACATTCAGTGTTGTGTATCCATCACCACTACCTGGTGCCAGAACTTTTCATCACCTGAAATGGAAACCCAGTATTCATTAACAGTCACCCACCAATCTCCCCTTCTCTTCCTCAGCCCCTGGCAACCACGAATTTGTTTTTTCCTTCCTATGGATTTGCCTATTCTGGTATGAATATGAAATTCTTTATGGATTTTTTTCTGAGTACTTATACTTGAAAGGATTCAACACCTTTATGCTAGATTCTGAGTAGGAGTTTAGAGGCTGATTTGAACTCTGCAGTTTACTAGCCATGGAACTTTGGGAAATCACTTATCCTCCCTGGATCTGAGTCTTCTCACTTAAATAATGTAAGTAATAGCATTTTGAAACATTACAAGACGGTACAAGTATGAGACTGGATTTCTCCTTTTCTCCCCATGCCCATTTCGCTAACTTTTTTAAGAAGTTTTTTTGAAACGCAGCTCTGCATCCTTTCCTCTAGGAAGGTTTCACTTCCTAGTTTGTATCTGGAGCTCTGGTTTTATGGTTCTCAGATCTGTGAGGGCTCTTGTTAGTTCATTTGTTTTGATTTTAACTTCCCCTCACTAGTTTTCTAATAGCTAAATTCAAATTTTCCTTGTGATTCTTATTATTTACATAAATAATATTGTGACTAATGAAGAAAAATCACATTTCTACCACCCCAATTCATTATCTTTTATTTTGCCAGGATCCTCTTAGAAGTACACAGTATTTACTTTTAAGATTATAGCATACAGTCATTTTACCACTGGGAAGAGTATGTTATAAATAATCTCCATGATGTTTCATAAGCCTTATGATATATGGCTGTGTAATAGTCCAGTAGATAGATTTGGAATCTGTTTACTGAGTCAGAGACTGATGAGGGTCCCGGCTCAACCCATTACTGTTTGTGTAAATCTCCATATAGATAGAACCTCTTTGGATCCCAATTTTTACATCTCGACTGCAGTAGAGAAGAAAAGAAAAGTTGTGAAGTTACTTTTGGCACTGTAAATGTAACTTACTCCCTTCAGTGATGTTTCAGAACTGAGTTAGCCTTGACCCTGCTCCTGTACAGTGTTTCCAGTTTTGGCATTATAAATCATTAGTCACTGGTCATATTGTCATTTTTATAAACAAGTGTTTGGTAATTTCCTAACCCTGACAGATTATTCTAATGCTCTTGGGGCAATGAAATGGAAGGGGGCTTTTATTTCCCCCTAGTATGCTTACTTGCACATTGAAGAGTCTGGCTAAGGGATTTTTTATCAAGATTGACTTATGTGGAGATATGGCTTGTGTCTAATGGACATAGCTCAGGATCTGCAGAAGGAGGTACACTTCTGTGTCAGTTGGGAGAGCATTGCTGTGGCATAGATGAGAAGACGACAGATCTGGTGGAACAAGTGGCGTTGAGTAGGAGAAGGACAGGTGAGAGGAAGGTTGTTTCTGCTGTTAAAGGACTCATCAGGGCATCCATGTTAAAGTGTTGTCTTTACTTACTAACACTAGGCTAGCAAATTTGAGAATTTTATCAGCTATTAACATAAATACTTATTACATAAAATTATTTAATAATCATTTTAATTTCTACTGTACATTATAAATAAAATGCTTTTGGGTGTCCTTTAAATCTAATTTTTAAAAAAATTCTCTTTTTTTGGCAGGGGGAGGTAATTAGGTTTATTTGTTTATTTTTAGAGGAGGTACTGGGAATTGAACCCAGGACCTCATGCATGCTAAGCACGTGCTCTACCGCTTGAGCTTTATCCTGCCCCAAGTGTTCCTTAAATCTAAATAGGAGATAGGCAGTGAAACCTTGTGTAGCCAACTCATTTATCTTTGGCAATAGGATAGGTAAAGCACAGTTGATTTAAAAGTATATAAAAATATAGAATTTTTACCCCTTTATGTTTCCCAGCCATAGATAAAATCTTATAAGAAGAAACACACGTCACAAAGGATTTAGTGATTTGAGTCTTCTCCCTGTTTTTCATTCTAGTCAAAGGTTTGTCAGTTTGTAGGTCCTTTCAAAGAACCAACTCAAAAAACCAACTTTCAGTTTGATTTTTTAATTTTTCAGTTGTTTTTCTTTCTATTATATTTATTTTATTTTTAATCTTTTTTATTTCCTCCTTTGTAGCTGCAGTTTTAGTTTGTCCTTTTGTTCCCCCTAGTTCCTTAAGGTGGAAGATTAGATAATTGACTTAAGATGGTTCTGCTTTTTTAAAATGGGCATTTACAGGTACAAATTTCCTTCTCAGCATTCCTTTCACTGTGTCCTGTAAGTTTTGGTATGTGTGTTTTCATTTGACGTTTTTTCCCTGTGTATCTGGAAGATCTTTCTCCTACACACAGATATGTGTTTAACTGTTTGTTTGGAAATACTGTAGGTTCTGTAACTCTTCCATAATTGATGGACTTTTAACTAGTTAGTTAAAGGGCAAGAGAACTAGAAACAGTGCTACAATGAATCTCTTTGTATATGCCTCTTTAATATGAATATTTCTCTAGGATGACTCGCTAGAAGTAGATTGCTTTATTCTGAAGTATGTGCTTTCAAGATATGGGAGTGACCTAAGTGTCCATCAACAGATGAATGGATAAAGAACACATAATGTGTGTATATATAATGGAATATTACTCAGTCATAAAAAAGAATGAAGTTCTGCCATTTGAAACAATGTAGATGCAACAATGTACTTAGTGTCTAACATATTTCACCATTATGCTTAGTGAAATAAGTTAGACAAAGACATGGACTATGTAATATCACTTATATGTGGAATCTTAAAAATAAAATGAATGAATATAACAAAATAAAAACAGACTCACAGATATAGAGAACAAGCCTAATGGTTACCAGTGGGGAGAGGGAATGGGGGGAGCAAGATAGGGGTAGGAGATTAACAAACTACCATGTATAAAATAAGCTACAAGGATCTATTGTACAGCACAGGGAAATACAGCCATTACTTTATAATAATTTTGAGTGAAGTAAAATCTATAAAGATATTCAATCAGTAAATCGTACACCTGAAACTAGTATAAAATCATAAATGAACTGTACTTCAATTAAAAAAATAGTTTGTGCATTAAGAAATCTAAGAACAATTTAAAATTTTCTTTCAAAAAAACTAAAGCAGTTTATACTCTGAGCAATGGTATGAGAGAGTAATTCTTTTACTACCCTCACCAATACTAGATGTGATTAATCTTAAAAATTTTTGGAAGTTTGGGCAAAAATGTTATCATTGATTTTTTTTTTCCAAGTTTACATTTAAATTGCAGTTGGTGGGACAGCACCATTGCCACCCCAGTAAATAATCATTTCTGACCCTCTTCTTGTCCTTTTTAGGGCATGGCCTTTACGTTGCAGGAACGGCAGATGCTTGGTCTTCAAGGACTGCTGCCTCCCAAAATAGAGACACAAGATATTCAAGCCTTACGATTCCACAAAAACGTGAAAAAGTTGAATGGCCCTTTGGAAAAGTAAGAGTTGATTCGATGTTTAGTTTTTTTAAGGGACATTCTGGTCAGAAAAATTGACAGTATTATGATTATTATGCATGAGAAATAGTCCCGTAACAAAGTTTGTTTTACTCAGTTGACTTTTCATGATTATGTTTCCTTCGCTTCAGTGAATACTTCACTTGTTTTCACTATTGTAAACTTTAGCAGAAATCAATTTTGTGTCTGTTTAAAATCACAGCATTTCAGGTTTTAATAGAATGTTAGAAGCAGAGGCTGTCATCTCATTTGCACCTGTTCTGTTCAACAACTTTCATTGACCGCCTACTTTGTGTGTGCCGTTGTACTGGCCACTGAGGATATACAGTGGGTAAGAGATGGTGACCATATAATATATCATCCAATCCAGGACACTTCGGGGAGTGAAAAAGGAGTAACTGAAGCTGTCCTAGGCAAACAAGAATGCATGGCCACCCCAGTAACGCACCACATGCCTTTAGGAGCTCATCAGTAGATAGTTAACCTGTGACTGTCATGGTACTCTGTACTGCAGTGTGCAGGACAGTGAGAAGAAGGGATATGCAGAGTACATTCTGAAAGCAGGAAGAAGGGCGCCTGGCTCAGTGCGGGGAGAGTCACTTCCTGGAGGAAGTGATGCCTGAGCTGAATTTGAAACAATATGTTACAGGGAGCAGGCAGAATGAGAAAGAAGGGCAAGGTATTCTGGGTACAGGGATCAATCTGACAACAGGATTAAAAGTATTTATTGGGTTTTTAAAATATAGGAGGTTATTGGATATAGGTGACTAGGGAGAGTGGTTTCTTTGACATGATGGGGCAAAAGGGAGATCGCAATAGATTGAGAAACAAGGGGAAGGAAATACACACTTTCAAGAAGTTTAGGTAAGAGGGGGAGGGAAGACACTGAACAGTAAGTAAAGCAGGACTTGGGTTTAAGGGGTGTAATCCGGGCTGCAAGGAGGTTGAGCATACTCATAGCTGTGAGGAATTTCCCCAGGAGAAAGGATGATTGATAGAAGACGACCCCAGAGGAAGGAAAAGGGCATAGGGTCAAGTGCAGAGGTAAAGAGGCTGGCTGTGAACAAGAAAAGAAAGAAACAGCTCATTCTCTGAGGTGAGAGCAAAGAAGAGAAATATATGTATAAATAAGGATACAGTTTACAGGCAATGGAGTGGAGGTTGTGTGATGTCATCACGGAAGTTCACCTGAAGACCCTGATGTTCTTTATGATCTAGAATGTAGAGGCCTTGGCTAAGATTTAGAAGGGCCAAGGTTGAACACAGTTGGTAGAGGAGAGTGAGGGATGTTTAGAAGAGCCACTTAGCCCTAAGGTGAACAAGGACAGGTTAAAGGGCCGAGAGTAGTTCCTGAAGGCTTAGTGGCATAATCTTGTTTGTATTGATGCCACTCTGCCCAGCAGTGCAGGAAAGGTAAAATGTAACACTGATTCAGATTTGGGGTTTGCTGGGCTGACAAAGATGCTACGTCAGTTCATTCAGCTAATGTTCATTCTTGGCTGTTATGTGCCAGGTGTCGTTGTAAGCTCTGGAACTGCAAAAATGAAAACTTGCAGCCCTTGCCTTCAGGGAGTTCACAGAGGGGAAAGGCAGACACGGTGGAAGGGCAGTGCAGTGGTAAGGATATATGAAGCTTCCTAAGTGGTAATGATGGTGAGAGATTTGTTCAGAGTGAGAGACTTGATCATGGGACCCAGAAAGGGGAAAGAAGAGGAGCCAGAAGGATGCTAATAGAATGGGAGAAAAGGAAGCCTTCCAGGACCTAGAGATCTGAAGAGCATCGAGTGGTGGTAGAGCTAGCCAAAGGGTAGAGGATTGTGATCAGCTGTGAAATAATGGCATTCAGAATATCTGAGCTGTCAGAATCCTGGGTGAGGACATCAAGGGCCAATGTGAGGCACTCAGAAGAGTGACCAAGGTGAAATGAAGGTGAAAGTGATGATGTGAGGGAGTCCAGGAATCGCGCAGCTTCCCTCTCACGTGCCTGATAGGTCATCCGTTCTTTCCTTAACATTCTGCTGTCTACTTCTCAAAGCTATTAAGTCTTAACCCAACTGTTAGTTTTCTTCCTAGACTGAGGCAAAATTGCCTTCCCTTTAATTTCTTCCTGTTGATATTATTTCTGATCATGGTAACTATATAGAAAATATTATTCCTCTTCTAGATGGAATCACTTCTCATTTATTCACCATATATATGCACACCAGCTAAATTCCATGTATTTTGCTAGTTCTTGGAAATATAGAAGTATATAATGTGATAGTCACTAAGCCATGTTACCATGGAAGGAAGATGGAAAGTCAAAATGGGGAGTGAGAGTTACAGAAGAAGGAGTCGGGTATCATGGGACCTGAAGACAGGAAAATCTAACGTGTATATATGTCTGATGGCAGAGGGGAGGGGAGTGGGCAGAAAAGGACCCCAGAGAGTGTGCCACCTGAGCTGCATTCGAAGAGCGTGAGTATAGGACCATGGCTGTTCTAGGCAAAGGGTGCATCGCCCTAAGTAGTGACTCCAAGGTAAGAGATATGGTACATTTGAGGAACTGGAGTAAGTTCAGTATGAAGATGAGGCTGGAGAGTAGGCAAGGGTCCAGTTAACTACTGTAGAAGCTTGAACCTCTTAAACTGGTGTTTGGAAGCCATTCAAGGAGAAGAGAAATAGATATGTTTTAAAGAGGAGACTAGATTGGAGCAAGAGAGCAAAATCGTGTGTGTAAAGACTAGTTAGAAAGTTCTTTAGGTAGCCCAGGTGGAGAAATGATGGTGGCTTGGACTGGGTGGGGATGGAGGGAGGAAACAGATGTTTGAAGGCTATTTAGCAGGTACACCCTGTAGGACTTGCTGACTTATTAGATTGAGGTGGGGGCGGGTGGGAGAGGAAGAAATCAGGAGTGGACCCTGCAATTTCCATTTGGTCAAATGGTAACAGGAGGAGAAACAAGGGCGGGGGAAAGACAGTGAGTCTGTTTTAGGCATATTTTATTCAAGATGATTATTGGTTTTTCAAGCCAACATTTCCCTGTTTTCTAAACTTTATTCTTTAAAAGCTGTTATTTGTGTATTTGTATGAATTGAATATTGCCTCCTATGCGCTACTGTTGTGCTCCATACAGATCTTATAATGCCTGTAAGCCTCCCGTGTTACAAACTCCATGAGGACAGAGGTCACTTCTTAACATCTCCGGAGTTCAGAATAGTGCCTGGCACATAGTTAGTATTTAGTAAATATTTGAACGAATGCCACTTTATTTTGTTTCCTTCTTTATTTGTCCGTCACCTTGAAGATTAGCTCCTTTAAGGTGGGGGCCTCATGGTAGTTTTTGCATTTCCAGTGCCTGGTACAGAGCCTGACCTCCCAGTAAGGGCTCAATGAATGTTAACTGTTGCTTCTGTTATTATTCTATTCATCATCATCATCTGCCATTTAAACACATTTTTATTTTTGTTAATTTTTAGTCCTGGATGTTACATGATGACAATTTAGGGTTTTGTTTTTGAGGGGGAGGGAGTCCTAATTTTAGATGGTTAGATTTAATTTCAAAGGCCAAAATCTTGTGTAATGCTGGCTGATGTAGACATTATTCTCTGTGCTTAATTTCAGATACATCTATCTGATGGGAATACAGGAAAGAAATGAGAAGCTGTTTTACAGAGTACTGCAAGATGACATTGAAAGTCTGATGCCCATTGTATATACACCAACAGTGGGTCTTGCCTGCACCCAGTATGGGCACATCTTTAGAAGACCTAAGTAAGGCTTATTTTAAAAAATATATTTGCAAATGACTGTAGTGTAGGAGAAACATCACTCCGTAACACCCATTACATTTCTGTTTTATGTGCTGCAGTCTTATCTCAACCACATTTCCCACCTCACACAAAAGCTTAATTTGGATGAAAAGGGATTAATAAAAAGCTAACGTGTTCGTATCTTTTATTTTGTGGAAATAGCATCATTTATTCCTAACCTTATTTAAATTATTATGATTGTTAGAGGAATTGTGCATTTTGATACCAGAAATTAAATAGAGGTGTTCTTAATTCTGGTGGCATGTTCTCCAGAACAGTCATAAACGTTTTTGACAGTCTGGCCAATTAAGAGATTGAGTCTCATTTTTTATCAGCTTTAGTTTCTTTTGTTTGTTCTTTTTTTATGAACTCTCACAAATTTTAATTTCAAATAGTTCTAGCACCTCTAGATATTTTAAGTGGAAAGGGTACTGGGATGAACATTGACTCAAGTCTTTGAAGAAGTTAACTTGATCCCTCTGAATCTGTTTATCATAAAGTAGGGATACCGGTACCTTTCAAAGATCTGCCGAGAAGGTCCGATGAGGAAACTGATGTGATGGTTCCTTGTAAACTTCTAAGTGTTATAGAAATGCTATTTTTACTGAGTTTGAGTTCTCTTGTCTGGTTCCTCTAACCTGTTATCATTTTCCACTATTCTCATATCTTTCCTATGTCCTGCTTACGTACTGATACAAACGTAGAAATTCCAACACCGTGCGGTAGCATTTATCTTCAGTCTCCTCCCATCTAGTCTAGTGGCTTTCAAACTGTAATGTGCATATGAAACATCTGTGGAACTTACTTAAAATATTGATCCTTGCCAACTTTCCTCTCCTTCCTATTCCCAAGATTCTGATGAAAAAGAGAAAGGTGTGGAGGTCCGGATTTTAATGAACACCGTCGGTGATGGTGTCGCAGGTATTCCCTGGAAGACACTTTGAGAACATTGTTCTGCCCTGTGTGCTGCCATCAGTTAATGTGGCTAAACATTTCTGCGACTTAACCCAGCTGTCTAGCTGTTTTGTAGTTTCTTTTTCACTCAGAATAGTGTTTCTCAGTCTAGACTAAAGGACAAAGGGAAACAAAAAGACACTGATGCCTGGGCCCCAGCCACAGAGATTTTGATTCCTAGTCCAGACTTGGGCGCAGGTGGTGCTGTTTCATAAAAGCTCCTGCTGTGATTCTGACGTGCACCGAGTTGAGAACGCACATGAAACATAAAGGGCATTTGGGTGAGGGCAGATGCTGTGTATCTTTTATGCAGTGGTTTTTTGTTTTGTGTTTTTACATAGAGGATGGTCAGTAAGTCTTGGTTGGTTAATTGATCCAAGCTTTAGGCCAGTTAAATCAGAATCTCTGGGGGTAGGACCCTGGCATTTTTTAAAAGCTCATCGGATTCTGATACACAACTCTGGTTGATAAACTGTTTAAACTGATTTAGAAGAGTAATGCCAAAGTTAAGATACCAATGAGAAAATTAAGTATAAGAATCAGTGTGAAGGCCCTGGATGCCTGTTGGCCCTCATCTCTATCTGACCTGCCTTCTAGAACCTTTGTTTCTCTTTTCTCTCTCCCTTCCTTCCTTTCTTCCTTTTTTGAAATCTGGATTACTTATCTCAATTGGATAACAATATACTGTGCTTAAAATAACTTTTCACATTTTCCTAATGCTTCAGGAGTATATCTGTTATGTAAAATTACTATAGTTTTCTTCTCTCCCCTCCTGCTCCTCCAGATTTCGATTTTTCAGTTTTAGTGAGTTTTAACAGTCTACTTAGCCTTACCATGCTCTCCTGCATTGGTGGTTTATCTTTATATTGCTTTTAACTGGAGGTGCATTGAGTTTATTTGAACAAGAAATGTGAATACATTTCTTCTTGGATAAAATGATCACATCATTTAATAAAAATCTTTGTTGCAGCTACTCTGTGAGCAATGCAATTACAGTTTGAAGTGGTTGAAAATATTTGAAAATAAACCAGTGTGACTTAGCTAAATCTGCGTGGAAATTACACTGTGTCTTGATGTTTCATTAAAATATCTAAATATTCCAACTATGAACAAAAACTTCAGAAAAAAACAAAAAAACTGTTGTGAAATGCAAAGGTGTTTTTGTTCTGTTGCAGGGGATTATTTATTTCAATCTCAGACAGAGGTCATGTTAGATCAATTGTGGATAACTGGCCAGAAAATCATGTTAAGGTACTAATAGCACAACCTTCCTTTCACAATGTTTTTTTTCTTTCTATGTAAGTTAACTCTAAATTTCAAGAATGGTTCTTTCTTTGTTGCTCTGATTTATCTCGCACTTACATACATGCAGATTTAGTGCTCTGAGTAAATCATGATACTAATAATTACAAAATGGGTTATTGGTGCAGAGTTTGGCCTGGGAAAGAAATGGAGCTGGTTAGGTGAGCCTGCTCACTTCAGTACCACTGGTGTGTCCTGCCTTCTCTATATTTCTTTTCTGTGTCAACTAGTAGTTATTCTAGGTAAAGGAAATACATTAAAATGCCAGAAGAACTTTTATTCTGGTGGGTGATGGGGAGGATTCATTATGCCGCTTTTCTTATAAATCCAAGGTAGATTCAGATCCTTAAGCAAATATAAAACTCTTAGCGTTTCAGATTTAGCAAATATAAACATTAGTCAATCTGGCTGTCTTTCATAAAATAAAAACTAATGGCTTAAGATCTTTTGGTAGGCTTTGGTGTTTATTACAGGCAGTAGTCTTTCTTGCCTTTATTATGTATCATACTCACCAAAATGACTTTTGATGAATTATTAGTTCTAATCTAGGGAAAATTTGTTCATAAAATTAAACTCACAGTATCCTCTTAAAACCTTGTAGGTAGGTATATTTTTTATACTAGATTTTTTTTTTTCACCATTGCTAAGGTTTTTCTTGCTTGGCTTCAGATACTGTTGGAGTAGCATATTATTTCTAAACTCTTTCGTTTTCTCTTATGGTTAACCTCTGTCAGAAGGGTGTTCACCTCTCCCCTATTCAGTCATGGTGAACGTATTCAGTCGGAAGCATTCTGTTCTGAAACTGAACACAGAGGAAATTCAAATCGAGTTACTGCTCCTTTTTAAATCTAGATTCTAGAAATGCTAGAATCTTAAGTGTGCTTGGTTGGTTTACTTTGAAAGTTAGTTAAGAAACAATTTTGTTTTTAAAAGTGAGACTGAAAATATGTGAGGAGAATCTTATTTTTGTGTTCTTTTGTTTTGTTTTTAATAGTAGCTTTTCTGAGGTAAAATTCACATACAATGCAGTTCACCTGCTTGAAATATAAATTCAGTCATTTGTAGTATATTCACGGAGTTGTGCAACCATCATAATTTAGAACATTTTCACCATGGCTCCCCCAACCCCCCCCCAAAAAAAACCCTGTACGCATTAGTAGTCACCCCCCCCTCCACCCAGCCCTAGTTAACCACTAATTTACTTTCTTTCTCTGTAGATTTACGTATTCATGTGAATGGAATAATATAATACGGGCTATTTTGTGATGAAGACAGTCTTTTTAAAAATGCTTTTCTTTAGTGCTCCATTTTGGACAACCTTTAATTTATGTATCTTTTGTGATTAAGGCTGTTGTGGTGACTGATGGAGAGAGAATTCTGGGTCTTGGAGATCTGGGTGTCTATGGAATGGGAATTCCAGTAGGAAAACTTTGTTTGTACACAGCTTGTGCGGGAATACGGCCTGATAGATGCCTGCCTGTGTGTATTGATGTAGGAACTGATAATCCAGTGAGTAAAATAATTTCCCCCCTTTGATCCTTTTCCCATAGTGAAAAAAAAAAGCTTTATTACATTCTTCTTTTGAAGATAATATAAGAGAAAATTCTGTGATTAGATATTAGCCTTTGTCTTAAACTCCTTTTAGTATTTATACAAATAGTAAATTAAACCTATTTATTAAAAGTTTTTTGAAGAATTAGTTTAAAAAATCAGTAATATTTTTATTTAACAATTTTTGATTCATAGAATATATTTAAACTGGTTATGTAACAAAATACTTTTATTTTTACGTTTGGTCTGTTTTATAGGCACTCTTAAAAGATCCATTTTACATGGGCTTATATCAGAAACGAGATCGATCACAACGTTACGATGATCTAATTGATGAATTTATGAAGGCCATTACTGACAGGTATTTTTTTTTTACTGTTTTAATACATGAAAGCATCTTTAATTAAAAAACAAAAGAACCACAGTTTTGTTTTCCTTTGTCTCCTGTGACGATAGGTAGAAGGAGATTAAGTGTTTGAGAACTTCGGTTCCTTCCTGCCTGATGAGATGTACTGAGACGTGATGATACCCTTTATGCTCTGCCTTGCTTTCCTGAGTTATCTGACACCTTGAGCACCCTGAAATCTTGAAGTCTTCACACACTGCTCCTAAATTATCCTCACTGTAGTTCTTTCAGCCTTGGCATCCAGGCTCCCTCCACCATTCCAGAGTTCTTGTGCAGCTTTCATATGTTAAATTTGCTGGCCATGTGGTCTTCTCTCTCCTCCTCTCTGCAGCATCTGACCAGGTTTACCACTTCCACATCCTTGAAATTCTCTCTTCTTTGAGACCACTGCAAGGCTCTCCTAACTTGGTCTTTGTCCCACCGATTTTCTTTCCTTCGTCATCTCCACTGCTGCTTCTTGCTCTCTTCTATTAAATGTGGATAAGTACATAGTTCTCTTCTCTTTGAGTCGTGTAAGCTATAACCTTTATGCATGTGACTCCATGAAAACCCATCTCTGTAGTCCCCCCCACCCCCAATGAGGCTTACAATTCCAACAGCTGAATCCTCCACTCGACTTCTTGTTGCTCCTTCTTATTCATGTCCAAAACAACTCTTCCCTTTCTAAACTGCCTGTCTTCTGTATATCCAACCTCTATTAATGGCCATTAACATGAACCCTATTAGCAAACCTTTGATCTTGGTTTAATCTTTGATTCTTCCTCCTCCTCCATCGACCCCATACAGTGTCATTCATCCCTCACATCCAGTTTGGTACTGCCCCTTAAATGCCTCAGAAATAAATCTTCTCTTTTGCATTGCCACAGCCTTTCTGCAGATCCTTATCTCTCTTGGATTCTTCAGAACCTTCCTCCAGTTTCTCTCCTCGCTATTCCATATCCCCTGCACCACCAGATAAACCTTTTTAAAACATGCACTTCATTTTATCATTCTTTTGCTTGAAATCTATCAGCGGTTTTCTACTGCCATAGGGTGAAGTCCAACCTTTTTTTGTGATCTAGCCCTGCCCTACCTTTTAGGTTACTGGTATTTGGAAGTTTGTAAAAAATCAACTCCTTTTCAGAGTCAACGTTGATGTATCTAAAACTAAACTTTTCATCATCCTAGAAATTTCTGTCTCCTCCCCTTCTCCTAATTTCCCTCCCTTGGACAATCAGGTAGTGTCTTCTTAGTCATCCAGGCTGCCTTGCATTTTAGCAGCTTTTCCCTTACTTTCCAGGTGGTCCTCATCAAGTTCTCTTCCTTCGTTCTAATTTCTCCTAATTGTCCCTTTCACTTCCTGTGGCTTCTGCTTCAGATCTTCTTGTCCTCGCTTGTAGTAGCTTCCTCGCTGTTTCTCTTGTCTTTCTCATCTCTCCTCATGCTGGTAGGTGCTACACATCACTGACAGGCTTATCCTTTATAGAGGGAGTCTTAGATGAAGTCTTTCCTTCTCTAAAGGCTTCAGTGATTTTACATCGGATACAGAAAGTCGCCATTCCCTGATTTTTCAGTCAAGATCCCCCCCTTATCTGGCTCCAACCTACCTAAACTACCTTTTCCTTTATCCTTTCCTATAAGCCCTGAAATAAATAGCCAGACTGTTGAAAATTCAAGGTCAGTAAAATAAATCTTGTTTTTCTTTGTCCTGCTTTCACTTTTTGTTGTTCTTTTAGGGCCCAAATAAAGTTTCACCTCCTTTCAAGTCTCCCCTTAACTTCACCTTGCCCAGATGATTGATATCTTTTTCTCAGTGCCAGTGAACTCACACAGCAATTAGTTTTTAACCTGTAATTTAGTATATGGTTTCCTGTGTTACAGTTTAACTGTGAATGTAATGAAAATACACATATAAAATATATACTTTTTTGAGACTCAGACAAAAATCCCTTCCTTTTTAGGAAGTTATTTTGTGCTTATATGTGCTGGGCACCCTCCTAGACACTTGGAGATAGTTTTAGATTAATATCCCATAGGTCCATCAAGGTGCCACATTCATTTTAAGCATCCCGTAAATTTTTCTGAATGAGTAATTGATTTCTACATTTTGAGTCTAGGCTTTCACAGACTCTGAAAATTGCCAGATGTCATTAAATGAACTAACATAGTACATTGTTTTTCAATGTGATCATAAGGAGTATTAGACAGAAAAGCTGTTTAAAAGTGGTACTTTCAACAACACGATCATGGGTTTTGCTGTTTTTAGATATGGACAGAACACACTTATTCAGTTTGAAGACTTTGGAAATCATAATGCATTCAGGTTCTTGAGAAAATACCGAGAAAAATATTGTACCTTCAATGATGATATTCAAGGTAAAGCAAAAAGAAAACCTTAGATTTTTGATTCCTACTTAAAAATTTTTTAGTATACCCACTTTTTTATTTTAAATGTTTTTATTTTTCTTATAGGAACGGCTGCAGTAGCCCTAGCAGGTCTGCTTGCAGCACAAAAAGTTATTGGTAAATCGATCTCAGAACACAAAATCTTGTTTCTTGGAGCAGGAGAGGTAAGTTTCTATAAGCTTTTAGGATTTAAAACCAACACTCTCCTTTAGAATTGGAAAATGAGGTGTAATGAACTTATAATTTGGTTGGGATAGAGGGTATTAAATTCAAGATCTCGGTTGTGAAGTAGGTAATTTAAAGTATGTTTGGAAAGAATATCATGAAGAATCGAGTTTTGTGTGGTTTGTAAGGGAAGAATAGACCCAGTGTTCCTCATAGCATATAATTGTCATAAATGAAGTAACTTAGCATTGCACCATACTGTAGTCTTTGTTTTTTAAATGTATGTTCTGTTGGACAGGCTGCACTTGGAATTGCAAATCTTATAGTTATGGCTATGGTAGAAAATGGCCTCTCGGAAGAAGAGGCACAAAAGAAAATTTGGATGGTTGACAAGTTTGGTTTATTATTTAAGGTAAGGTATTTTAAAATTTTTTTTGAGGGGGAGATTAGGTTCATTTATTTGATTTTTAACAGGGGTACTAGGGATTGAACCCAGAACCTCGTGCATGCTAAGCATGTGCTCCACCACTGAGCTATACCCTCCCTCAGGGTAAGGTATTTAAAACTTAGAGAAGCAGAAGAATGTGTTTATAATGATATTTTTAGGTGTTTTTTTTTTTTTAATATTATCACTTCTTAAGATCTTGTTGCTCACTGGACTATCCAAATTGTATGATTTGGGGACCTTTCTAGTGTTCTCAACAGAAATCCTCCAGCCTCCAACTTTTGTCATTTATAAACAGCCTTGTTTCACATTCTAGTCATAGTCTCTATATTGGCACCAGACTTGTTCTTTCTTGCTTTGTTCTCTGGCTCTTGACCCTTTTAAAGCCCAGTGGTTTTTAATGGGAACTCAAAGTTTCTAATTGTTAGCAGGACATCTGATATTTGAGCAGAAATTCTTTAATCCTTTGGAAATCATAATCCCCTGTAGCAATCTAATAGAACTCTTTGGACAGTTTCCCCAGAAAAAAAGGCACACATTCCTAAAGTCAATTCATGGATAATAAAGAGCTTCTATCCCAGATCAATCTGTATCCTTTGGACCTGCCTGCCTTCTAGCATTGATTGCCATTTTTGGTAGCTTAAGAAATACCTTATATCTTATACTGTGTAACACACCAGAATATAGGTAAACTGTTTCATGTTTGAACCTATTCAGTACACAGCCCTGTCGTATTTTTGTCATGTATATTGATATAGCAATTACTTGTCATTTACATCTTTTGGAGCAAGTTTATGTCCAGTTCTGAAATCTTTTCTTCTTAATTAGTCCCAGTGTTGTATTAGTACAAAAAAAAAAATGAAGAAGTATGTGAGTGAAAAGTCTTGAATGCTTAAACATAATTTTTAAAAGTAGTTTAAAATGTAGCAGACATGGTGATAAGACTTTACAGGTATTATAGGATGTGGAGAAAAAGGAATCCTCCTAGCAATGTAAATTGGTGCAGCCTCTATGGAGGATAGTATGGAAGTTGCTTAAAAAACTAAAAAGAGAGTTACCATATGTTCCTGCAATCCCACTCCTGGGCATATATCCAGAGAGAACTAATTTGAGAAGATACATGCACCTCAGTATTCATAGCAGCACCATTTATAATAGCCAAGACATGGAAGCAACCTTGTCCATCAAAATATAGATAAAGAGGATATGGTATATCTATGCAGTGGAATACTACTCAGCCATGAAAAGGATGAAATAATGCCATTTGCAGCAACATGGATGGACCTAGAGGTTATCATACTAAAAGAAATCGATCAGATAGAGAAAGACAATTATCATATGATATCACTTATATGGAATCTAAAAAAAATGATACAAATGAACTTTGTTACAAAACAGAAATAGAGTCACAGATAGAGAAAACAAACTTATGGTTACCAGAGGGGAAAAGGGAGGGGGAGATAAATTAGGAGCTTGGGATTAACATATACACACCACTATATGTATAAAATAGATAAAAAACAGGGACCTACTGTATAGGACAGGGAACTATATTCAGTATCTTGTAATAACCCATAATGGAAAAGAATCTGAGAAAGAATAGAGAGATGTAGAACTGAATCACTTTGCTGTACACCTGAAACTAACACAACATTGTAAATTAACTATACTTCAGTTAAAAAAAAGGCTTTGCAGATATTATCTCATATAATCTGATCAAAAATCCTGTGAAATTTTACAAGTGAGGAAACTGAAGTTTTAAAAGGTCAGATCATTTTCCCAAGGTCATTAGCTTATAGGCAACGGAAGTAGGATTCACACCCAAGTGCCTGACTGTGAAGCCTGTGCTCTTTGTTTTGTTTTGTTTTGTTTTTCATCTTTGATGGAGGTACTGGGGATTGAGCCCAGGACCTTATGCACGTTAGGCATGCACTCTACCACCGAGCCACACCCTCCCCCTTTGTTTTGTTTTTCAGATGAAAGCTTTTTAAAAAAATTATGGCAAAGTATACATAAAATTTGCCATTTTAACCATTTTTAAGTGTAAGTTCCATGGCATTAATCACATTCACATAGTTATGCAACCATCATCACTGTCTATTTCCAGAACCATCTCATCATCCCAAACAGAAACTCTGTGCTCATTAAATGGTAACTCCCCAGTTCCCTCTTCCCCCAGCCCCTGGTAACCTCAGTTCTGTTTTCTGACTCTATGAATTCGCCTATTCCAGGTACCTCATCTAAGTGGAGTCATACAATATTTGTCCTTTTGTTTCTGGCTTATTTCGCCTAGTGTAATATTTTCAAGATTATCGATGTGCTAGTATGTGTCCCTTTATAAGGATGAATAATATTCCATTATGTGCATGATATATCACATTTTGCTTATCAGTTGATGGACATTTGGGTTGCTTTCACCTTTTGGGTATTGTGAATAATGCTTCTGTGAACACTGATCTGCAATATCTGTTTAAGTCTCTGCTCTCATTTCGCTTGGTATAAACCTAGAAGGAGAATTGGTGAGGCCTCTGCTCTTAATCCTTCAGCTGTGCTGCCTTCCAAAGCTGTAACTGCCATACTTGCTTGTATATAAGATGCAAGGATTATAAGACATTATACTTGGAAGGCTATGGGGGGATATATATTTTCACTAGTACACGGTTAGTTTGGTGCTTCTTTTTGTGATGTTGGTTTTCACAAATGTTTCGTGATTATTTATCATATTTGAACAAGTCCAGTCTTGAATACAAGTAAGAATCCCTGTTCATCTGTAAGTTCAGGGTATATTTTCCTTTTAGGATGAGTTTTAAGCTTCCTATCTCTCCTGTGGACCCAAAACAATGAACTCCTCATTGAGACTTTGAGAGTTTCCCATTGAAACGGTCATGGGAGAGCTGTGGTCTTCCTGGGAGCAAGCATATGAAGCCAGTGTTCTGAGAACCTGATCTGCTGAGCCTGTATTTCAGTCTTGTAATTAACTTCCCAGCCAAGTTATGTGTGCTGCCCTTCCCAGCCCCTGCTGGTTCTGACCTGGGGTTATTCTGGAGTTCTGATGAAAAAAGTTACCTCTGCAGGGGAGGTGGTCTTTTTTGCCAAAATAAGGTTATGGGTTTCTAAGCCTGGTTGGTTTTTGCATTGGCATGTTTTGGTCTGTTTTTAAGTTGTTGAGAAATTCTTCATTGTTCTAGTATGTCAGTGGTACCGTACGCTCCTGCTCTTGCGACACTACTAAGGGTTTAATTTTTTAAGTTTTTGACCTGGGATTTGAGGAGTACAGGTGTATTCCTTCATTGAGCTATCTTGAACCAGAATTCCTCTTTCCTCTTGTTTCTGAACTCTTGGTAGTGTAAGTCCATGATTTCTATCTGTAACTCTTAAATCCTGAAAGCTCTGAAATCCCCGAGTTTCCTGAAATTCATTTGGTAACAAATCCGACAGACCTGAGCTTATCAGCAAAATTAAAGAGGATATTTTAATGTTCACCTTCTGTATTTAGTGTGACCTTCCTAAGGTTTGTTCAGTTGTGGAGTGCCCATTGGGAGGGTACTTTTGATATTATCATAATACATTTCTAAAATAAATTTTGAATTCCAAAATACATCTAGCCCAGGTAAGGGATTCTAGGCCTTTGTACCATATTGATTTAGGAGGACTTCACAGCATAAACGAGTTTTGAGAGGGACTAGAAAGTTTCTGGTTATGATGGGATTTGATTTGATTTGTGTTTTATATTTGGGTTTATGTGCAAAATATGAAGATAGAATTGGAAAACACGGGTTGAAGAGAAAAGTAAACGAAAACAAAAAGACATTCCTATTATGGAAACAATATGTGGCTTATAGTGACATCTCTTCAATTACTCCTTGTAAGCGTTTACTAAAAACCTGTATTTCATCTAAAAATTCAGGGACGGAAAGCTAAAATAGACAGTCATCAGGAACCATTTGCTCACTTAGCCCCAGAGAGCATACCTGATACTTTTGAAGATGCAGTAAATATACTGAAGCCTTCAGCTATAATTGGTAAGTAAAGTTGTTCCATTATTTACCTGCACATTGCCAGTCATAACTTCCATGCAGGATTACTAAAAACAAAATGACAGATTTTACCTAGCTTTCGGCATATAGGATGTTTTCTGTGATGGCTTTTTTTAATTGTCATATAGTTGATGTACAATATTATATATGTCACAGGTGTACAGTATAGTGATCCATAATTTTTAAAAGTTATACTTCATTTACAGTTATTGTAAAATCTTGGCTATATTCCCTGTGTTGTGTGTGATAGCTTTTAGGTACAGTGTGTAAAGTCCTGTTAACGGATGTTGCTTGTACTTTTAACTTCTGGAAGCTGTGTGATTGATCATGCTTTGCTTTTAGAGTTGGTTTGGCTGGTGGGGTCAAAACCTGAAAAAGACCAAGGTTATTTGACAAACTGTACCAAGAAAATCCTATGCAGAGTCAAAGATTTTCTTTGGCAACAAAGCTGAAAGCTTTTGGTATATTTCAAGAGTCAGGCATTGCATAGCTGACATTAGACTATGCAACATGGCATTAAGTTCACAGCAGAAATTGTAAAAGTCTTTAAAAGAGGTACTATTTCATTTCCTTTGTAGCTGTAAGATTTGAATCTAATTTTTCTTGTAATTTTACCTATTTCTTGGAGGAGCCCTATAAAATGTTAAGTAGTAAACTTACTGTAACAGTAAACTTCTAAGGTCAGGATAAAGACGTTTGTATTAGTTTCTTCATTGATTACAGCTCACCATTTTTTAAGAGTGAGAAATAATCTTGAAGATCGTCCAGTCTATTTCTCTCACAATTCACTATGGAAACCTAAGAACCTGGCAATTGACTCTGTCCCTGGAGGGTCAAGGAAACAAAAAGAAAAAAACGTTTAATTCTTTTAGAACTTAAGGATTCCTAAGAATATGTACACATACTTCCACATGAGGAAACTCTATAAATTTCTTTTTTGCACGTGAAAAACAAGCACAGATCTGTTAAGCAACTTGCCCAAGATCTGTGAATATTTCATTTAGCTAGGAGTGACAGAGCAAGCACTGAAACTGTGGTCTCCAGATCAGTATTTTTCTTTATTACATACCAGTTTGTAAAGTGGAATTAAAAATTAATTATTTTGACAGTCAAAAATGTCTTCTTATTGGATGAACTGAATAAACACTCAGCTGAGGCATTGCATGGTCATCCCCAAATTCCCACCACTGACTTTTCTTCCTTCACGCTCTGCTTCCATACACTGCATACTTGTCCCCTGTTACTGGTTTTCTGATTTTCTGCTTACTTTGTGGTTTTTCTCTCAACTATAAGCTGCCGGCATTATACTCATTTTTTATATCCTAATGGCCTAACAGAGTGTCTGAGACGTTGTAGGAGCTTAATAGAAGACCACTAAACTGAACTGTATCAAGAAAGTGGATTGCTTTAGTCAAGAAGATCTTTTATCCCTCCTGAACTTCTTTAATTTTATAATGAGTACCATAGAGTTTTAACAGTTTAATATTTGAGATGCAAGTTTTAAATTTCTTTAAAAAATTTTTATTTGTGGTAAAATATGCATAACATAAAGTTTTCCATCATAACTGCTTATCAGTGTACAGTTAGGTAGTGAGTGTTAAGTGCGTCCACATTGTTGTGCAGTCCCTGGAAATACCATTTCATTTTGCAAAACTGAAGCTTTGTGCCTGTGAGACAACAACGGTAGTCTTATTACTCTTTTTACTTCCCACAATTTACTATGTCTGCGGTAGACAATAAATATTTAAGTGAAAAATGTTAGCATTTTGTTGTTTTTCTTTTCAGATTTTGAGATTGTGTTCCTGCAGAGTTACCTCAGCAGTGTAAAACCTTATCTTTGCAGTGGGCGTTTACCTTTGCCTTTGTTAGGTTAAATCTATTGTAGAAATGCTGTTGATGAGAATGTTGTATTTAACCTGTAATCAAGTTGCTTTTGTCCCCCTTATTTAATACAGGAGTTGCAGGAGCTGGCCGACTTTTCACTCCTGATGTAATCAAAGCCATGGCTGATATCAATGAAAGGCCTATAATATTTGCATTAAGTAACCCTACAGCAAAGGCTGAGTGCACGGCTGAAGAAGCATATACACTTACAGAGGTACTAGTCAATGATAGTATGAATTGGTTGTTTTGCCTCTGTTAGCCTGTTGGTTATACAGTCTTTCCATGGTTGCTCTGGGATGATAGTGTGCATCTGTAGATCATCAAATTCTGATATAAATTATTGCTTGTATCCATTCTGGAAAGCAGTTACTTTATATATCCGTTTCAACATCCTCATGCCTTTGTGCTATTGTGCTTTTTAATTCTCTATTTTATTTAAAAATTTTTTTAATAGGGGGAGGTAATTTTAGGTTTATTTATCTGTTTAGTTTTTTTTTAAACAGAGGTACTGGGAATTGAACCAATGCACTCTACTGCTGAGCTAAATAACCTCCCCTTCATTGTCTCTATATGTTAAATCCCAAGAGACTTTATTGTTTTAAACAAAAATTATTCATTTAGATGTATCTACATTTTAATGTTTTCTATTGCCATTCCATCCTTCATGCACGTCTGTGCTTCTGTTGAGGATTATATTCTTCTACCAGAAGAACTTTCCTCAAGTGTGAGTCTGATGGATTCTCTTGCTAATTTCCTTATTTTGTCTTCAGTTTGAAGGGTATTTATATTTTTACTGTGCATACTGTGCATAGAAGTAAAAGCTGGTAGATACTTTATTTCAGCAATCTGGATATATCATTCTGTTGTTTTCTGACTTCTGATTTCTTTTTGACACATCATTTTGTCTTGAGTTTTAAGCAATTTTACTATTATAGACCTAGGTACAGTTTCCTTTGTATTTATTCTACCTGGGGATCTTAGAGCTCCTGAATCTGTGGCTTAGTGTCTTTTTTTTTTCTTTTTTCTTTCCCTTTTGGTCTCTTTTGGAAATCTCTCTAATTTGGACACATTCTCTCTCTTCTCTTGTCGGATTCTAATTATGTGAGTGTCAGTCTTTTTCACCATCGCATATACCTCTTACATGATTTTCTATATGTACCATCTTGTTTGCTCTCTGTGTTTCACTCTGGTGATTTTCTTTGGACTTACTTTCCAGTTTTCATATTCTCTTTTTAGCTGTGCTAATCTGTTGTTATATTCTTAATTTCGTTGCATTTTTCATTTGTGGAATTTCTCTTTGATTCTTTTCATAATAATTTATTAATTTAGTGACATAGACATAAAATCACATATTACAAAAACAATCAACTTATAAAAACTGCTTTCTCGCCCTCACTTGTCATGAAATAATTGTTTTTACCTTCTTTAAATGTATCTTCACCATGAGAGGCCATTTTTTCTTTTGAGGCATCCGACAGCTGTCTGGAACAAATTTTTACTTTCATCTGAATTGTTTAAAATTTTGAATTCTTTGACAGTGCCACTGGGTTATACCCCAGTTGCAAGTAATTGCTTATATACCATTACGATAGTTGTTTTTTTCCCCTACTGTTCCTTGGGGATATATTTGGAATCTCCACAATGTAATCAATCACTTTCTGTATTGTTCTTACAAATGATCTTTAAGTGGCTCTAGGAAGTGACTTTTAAAGGCTTGTTCATAATGATATATAGCAGTAATAATTGCTAGGTCATGCCCTTGAGAATAATTGATAAATTTTATAAATGTTTTTATATTTAAAAAGTTTTTTAATATGGAAAATTTCAAGCATATACAAAATCAGAAAGAACAGTATAATTAACTTCCATGTACCAGTACCCTGCTTCAGAAGTGACCAACTTACTGCCTATCTTGTTTCTTCTGCATCCTGCTCATCTTGGACTTTGGAGCTAGTCTCAGACATTGTCTCATTTTATTATGAATATTACAGTCTACCTCTCAAAAGTTAAAAGATTCTTTTAAAAATATAATCACAGTATCATTATGACACCTCACAATTTTAACAATAATTTTTAAAACACTTGATTTTTTTGGATAGCTTGCAGTTCCTTGCTAAAGTTGTCTATCTTATCATTTACTTTCTTGAATATGTGAATCATAATTAATGTCTGATAATAACAAATATCTCACTCTTTGTGAGTCCATTTCTATTTTGTGTCTGTCTTTCCTCTTGATTATCCAGTTCTTATCGTTTTGTAAGCCCAGTTTTACTTGTTTTTTGCTTCCTTATAGAATGCTAGATAGTGCGGATGAAGAATTACGGCAATAATTTGAAGCTAGGGATGAAGTTTCCTTCCTCCAGGGGGGCTCTGCCTTCCTCCCAGAGGCTGTTCGTCTGGGGTAGCTCCCCATTTAATTCATCAGGATGCCATCCCTGGAAGGCCTTGTCTGTTTCCACAGTTTACCTTGTCTCTTGGGTATGAATCAAAAGCCCTGGAATATTTATCAGCCCCTCACCCCTAGTGGGCCCTGAACTTTACTTTTTCTCTGCCGTCATGAGACTCCTGGTAGCTTTGCTGCTCTGGTTCTCAGTCACAGATTTTGCTTTTGAGATCATTCACCTTGAGGGGGAAAGCTTCAAATGCTGGGCTCGAATATCTTGCTTTCCTCTTTTTTGGATCTTGACTATCTCCCACCTCCAGGCTCTCCCTATCTTGATAGCATTTAGTATTTTTTAATATATTTGATCCGGTTTTTCTCATTGGTAGCAGAGGGACAGCTGGTGTGAGACGACAACTGGAACACTGTTGCCAGAGCAGAACTCTCCCCCTGCACTTTCTGAACTCAGTATTCATGCTCTTGATATATTTAGCATTATTTTTTCTATTGTTATAGATTTTATTTTGACTCGTATATTCTCTCAAAATTCCTTTCGATTCTGTATCATTACTCTGTTAGTCAAAATACATTCTCTTTATTACTGGCTTCCAACAGTTACAATAATTACTGAAACTTCTAATAATTATTGAAATCTTTTCTTTTGAAATCATCCACAATGTCAGCATACAGATGTGTATTTTTTTTTAAATTAGTCTCTTTAGTACACTGCCTTCCTCTTGCCAAAGAATGGTTTTACTTTTAGCTTGATTGCTTATCCTATTAACCAGTCTTTACTACTGAAAACTAGTGGTTATTGCCCCCCCAAGTTAAATCTTAGTCTTGTATAATGACTGTTTGATAAATATACTCAGTGTATAAATGGGCTTTGGCATTTCCAAAATATAAAACATTTGAATGTTTTGGGCAATAGCACTGTATCAGTGGAAGACTGTTCAAATGTTTAAGGATTTTATTTTTTGAATAAATATTTCTGTAATAGATATACACTATTTGAATGAATAAAAATTCCCCAAGGAAATTAGTTTGACATACTGTATTTTATCAGTTCTAAGTTGCAGTTTTTTCCCACAATTTTTATAACTTTGAAATTATTATCTCTTAAAAATGTTAAAGCATTGTGTCAGAGTTTAATTTTACATAATTTTTCCCTTAGTGTTACATAAAATAATGGTATAAATGTATGTATCTATACTTAACCTCTAAATTTTTAGTCCCCTTTTGTGTTCGGTGGAGGGATGTCTTGATGTAACTCTAACACCCTCTGCTGCTTTGTGAGAAGAATACTTTAAAAAAAAAGTTTTCATATTTTAATGGTAAGTTCTTCATAGAATAAAGAATAGGCCAAGTTGGACTTCAGAATGTTATCATTAAGATCTGGCTACTTTAAAGCTATAGATTGATTATGAAAGAAGAAGAAGAAGGAGAAAAAAGATGGCCTGGAATGAACTTCTGTTGAATCTTGCCATTCTAGAGAAGATGCCCACGATAGTTCTAAATCTCCACATTTACCGATGCCATGAAGACATAGCATTTTTCCCATAAAGAGCTTCACTGTATAATCCACTTTATAAATCTATTAAAATTTATGGTGGCCCCCAAATAATCTACATTATTATATACATTATTATTGTGGTAACACGTACAGCATTAACCATGACCTAACCTTAATCTTCAAAGAAGCAAAATTTTTGTCACAAGTAAAGCTATGCTTGGACAGGTTGAGAATGGTGATAGCTGCTGTAGAAAATGCTACAGCTGTCTGGAGCTGTGGGTCCAGGATAGCCATCGGGGCCTACCACTAGCATAGCTGACTTGCTTCTGCGCTTAAACCTTAGAGCATTTTGAAATTGCATGTCTTACAAAAGCAATAATTACTATGCATGGTAGATCTTCAGATTGTCCAGAGTCAATTTCTTCAGTTTCTTGATTTAAATCGAGACAGTGGTAATCTCATAAGCCTTTTATGTGGGCCAGATTAACTGAGTTAACACATATAAAGCACCTGGTGCAGAGCCAAAAACAGCCGATGTACAGTAAACCACAGCTTATTTAATTTTTGATGTTTTCCCCTCATTCACAGATGTTTATAGCAGTTTTATTATGAAAGATAGTATTTTGGGGCCACCTCCATTTTTCAGAGTTTTAAAGGAAATAGAAGTGTCACATTTTAAAAAGCTTATTAATGGACATTCTTCAACTTTATTTGAATGTATGCTATGCATAAAGCAATCCTCAGTCTAATAAGGATGTTAATGAAAGGATTATGTTATATAGTAAATTATGCCTGCTTGCAAATAATATATTGGTCTACTTTACTACAAGGTTTAATTTTTTTGAACTCATCTCAATTTTCTAGTCCACATAAAGTAACAAAATTGAGGTTATTTCATTTCTCAACAGGGAAGGTGTTTGTTTGCCAGTGGCAGTCCATTTGAGCCAGTGAAACTCAGTGATGGGCAAGTCTTTACACCAGGTCAAGGAAACAATGTGTATATATTTCCAGGTAAATACCATCATTCTTTATGTTATAGACTAATCATTAATCACATTAAAATTCCTTATGAGATTCTTTAGCATTTAAGTGAACCACTGTATTTACTATAGGATTTTGGAATGAATGTACAGGAAAAGCCAGAGAATTCAGCAAAACCAACTTGTTCTATTTCCCCTGGAAATTTGTTTATTCATATTGCTCACTAAACTTGTTTTTATGCTAGAAATAAGTAGTACATGTTTCATACAAATGCGCAAGGAACAGAATGTTAAAAAAATTGTTAAACCCTCTTTGTCTCCCCTTGGTATCTCCTTACCACACTTAATCAGCTGTAACCGTTGTGGTTTCCTTTGAGTTTTTCTGATGGTTACCGTCACGACTGGCACACTTACCTCCCCTTATCTCCATTGTTCCAACTCCAGACTGCATGTGTGAACCTGTGAAATAAAAACACCTCCTGAACCTCCCTTCCTCTCTCTATCTCTCGATTTACATTAGTACCTTTAGTTTTCCTAGTAGTTACCTTTATCTCTATACAGTATAGTTAAAGAGCTCCTGCAAGCAATTTTAAGATAGTTTTTTATTAGCTTACTGCAGTGAAAAAAATCTGGTATTTAACTATCTTATCTCTTCTTATTCCATCTCTCAATTATGGTTGGTCAGTATTTCTACATCTGTATTTCTACATTGTAGAGAAGTTTTTTGAAACTTACATTGTGTTCTGTTGTTTTCCATGTTTTGACTATGGATTGATTCTGAAATTACATGGTTATATTTTATTGATGTCTAGACAAGAGTGTGGTTTGATAAATACAGCAGAATATGTAATTCTGTATCACAGATTTTTGACACTCAGAGTCTTTTAAGTGTCAGGTATAATGAAGCCTCCTTTAATTTCTTGCCAGCTTTCTTCCCTTCATCCTGACCCTGCTCCACAGCAAACCATTTCTGTGGTGCTCTGCTGTTAGCATGTACGCTGTTCCTCTCTGTCTTGGTCTCATTTTTCTGGAATACATCTCTAATACATTTTTTACAAAGCGTGGATGATAACTGAGTTTCTAATGTATCTGAAAATTTCTTTATTTTCTTCTCTCACTGATAGTTTGGTTGGGTAGAGATTTGTAGATTCAAAGTCATTTTCCTCAGACCTTTGAAAACATTTCTCCATTCACTTTTAGCTCCCAGTACTGCTGATGAGAAATCTGAAGTCAGTGAGATTCTCACTCCTTCATACATACGAGCTGTTTCTCCCTAAACGTGCTTAAATGTTCTCTTTATCCTTAGATTTCTGAAAGATTAGTGGGATGCATCCAGGTATGGGCTTTATTTCCACTTACCATGCGTGTCTGTGGGTGGGCCAGTTTACTGTATCTTCTTTTCCAAAGGATTTTTTTGTTTGTTTGTTTTGTTTTTTGGTTTTGTTTTACTGTTTTTTCCCCCCTCATTTCTCTCCTTCCATTTGTTACTTCTGTTTTTCCCTCATGCAACTAGTGTTAGACCATGGTCACATCCCTCTGTTGTCCTTGACTGGTACATTGTATTTCCATTTTTACCTCTTGTCTTTTTTGCTCTGTAATATGGGGGATGTTCATCTCTCTTTTGTTTTTTTTAGCACTTTTAGTGTTTGTTTTGTTTCAACAATCTGTTTTCTTTTTATTATGGAAAAGTTCAAACATACACAAAAGTAGAGGAAAGAATGAAGTCCCATGTCCCATTCTCCCACCTTTTGGCACTTGTCAACTTGTAGCCAGCATTATTGAATCTATATTCCCACCCACTCCGCCTTCCCTGGGCTATTTTAAAGCAAATCAGAGATACCATATAATTTCATTAATACAAGTACTTCAGTATGTGTCTCTAAAAAAGTAAGTTTTTAAAAAATTAACCGTAATACTGGTATCACACCAAAGGGAATTAACAGTAAATGCTTACTGTCATATCCTCAATTTAGTAGGTTCAATTTTTTTTATTTGCAATACCTTTTCTTATCCTAGAATAACTCTTAAACAGCCTTTTTTTTTTAATGGTTGCAGCATCCTTTCAAAGCTCTCCTGAGAGTTATTAAGATTCTTTTAAATATTTCTTCCTTTGTGCTATTTATTTTCTTTAAGTTTATGGTGATCCTTAGTTCATTCATTTTAATGAAAGACTTATGTTGAGTAAAATAAGGATTTGGCTTGAATTTCCTTTGTACTGTGTCTTCCTTCTTGTGGGCCTCTCCCTAAATCGCTGACAGCAGGCTCTAACTAAGCCTTCACGACAGGTCGATTTATAGCATACAGAGGCTGGCATCATGTAAAGCATGTTATTATAACCTGTTAACGTAGAGATCTTTGGCCTGTGAATATCCAGGTGTGCTTTCCTCCTTTTTTCTCCGTGTAGTTGTGGTTGTCTGGAGTTTTACTCTGCTTGTCTCTTAAGACCTATCATCTGTAACAGAGATTTTTCCCATCACTGATGCTCTCTTTCTAGAACTTAGTCATGTTCAAAATCAGTCTGTTCCATCCAGCAATGTTTCTATGGCATAAAGTCATCAGAACATAAAAAGAATACTTTTCTGCTGATTTTAACAAAGCCATTTTTATATCACATATGACTAATAAAGAATTCGGTAATTGATTACTTTTATATAACATTTCAAAGTCCAAACTTTATTAATAACGGTTATTAGCACTATAAGTATATCCATAAAAATGACTTGATAGTGGAGGTTAAAATGGGCTTAAAAACAGGAGGATTGGCCAAAAGTCTGTTCATAAAGCAATTAAAAACTTAAGGCTGTGGTAATGTTTGCATTACCTACTCCAGCAATTATAACAACTGGATGAACAACAAAAATAAAACCTTAAAAGGGTCAGAGACTTCCTGATAAGGAAGAAGTGGCTGATGGTAAAACCATGCTTTTCATGGAGGGAGGACAAGGTGGACTGTGGCACCTGCCAGGGATGGGATTACAGTGAACCACTTCCCACTCTGGGCTGAAACCCTAAAGGACTGTACCTTGGAGTATGGGTATAGTTTGTACTTGAAGTGATCTAGAAAAACCTCAGGCTTTTGTTTGGGGCCCACCAGTGCCCACAAGTGCCAGCAGAAGCAAACAAATCTTCTCTGCCACAAGATGACATTATCCTATTCCTCAAGTTGCTTTTTACAAATAAAATTTCAAATACAATCCCAGTTAAAAATGAAGGATAATGAGGCACATAAAGAGACAACACAAGCTAAAAGTAGCAGGTGCAACAAAAAGAAAACTCTGGAACTCTAAATATCAAGCAAGTGCTATGAAACAAATATGCTTATTATATTTATGGAAATAAAAGCCAAACTTGACACATGCAGCCAAGTAACACTGTATTCTAGAATTGAAAAATACAACAAATTAAGAACTCGGTGAACGATGCTTATAGCAAATTAGACCAAAGAGAATTAATAAGATGAAAGGTAGGCCAGAAGAAACGATCCAGGGACCGAAAAAAGAGGAAAACAGAAAAACAAGTAAGATACGGACCGTTTATTGATATGCATTTAACTGAGATCGCAGGGGAAGATGAGTGTAAGAATGAAGCAGAAGCAATATTTGCAGGCTTCATGGCTGAGAATTTCTGGGAATTGATGAATGACGTCCATATACAATATTCAGGGAGCTCGGTGAAATCCACATCTAGGAACGTCATTGTGAGGCTTCAGAAAACAATGACAAAGAGAAGACTATGAATGAAGCCAGAGCAACAGGATTTTCTTCAAAGGAGCAACTGTCAGACCGAGGAGACGACTGAGTCCTCAACAGCAGCCAGATGCCAGAAGGCAGTGGAGTGATCTATGTAAGTGGCTTATACAAGACACTTGTTAAGTGGAGGTTCATTACGCAGTGACAATATCTTTCAAGGATTAAGGCAAAATGAGGACATTTTTAGAAGGAAAAAAACCCCAGAAGATTGAGCACCTGTCGACCTGTAAGGAAGGAAAATAAATTCTGAAGAGTATTCCTTAGGCAGAAGAAAAGTAATCCCAGCTAGAAACTCAAGAGATGTAGGAAAGAATGAAGAGCAAAGAAAGTTGTGAATATTTGAGTTAAATAAAATGAGTGTTGCACACATGGGGCAAAACAGTAATGATGTGGGATTTTGAAAGATACAGAGACAAAATTTAATTGCACAATAATAGCTTAATGGTTAAATAGAGTTAAATTCAGGAGAAACTTGCATTTTGTGGCAGGATGGTAAATTAAAAATTAACATGAAATTTTAATAAGGATGCATATTATAAATTTGAGGGTAACCACTAGAAGAATGGAAAAACTTCCAAATTATGGTAAGAGAATGTTAGGGGAGGAAATGAAATCATTTTTTAAAAAATACAAAAGGCAAGAAAAGAAGATGAAAGGGAATATGGAATAGATAAGACAAATGTAAGAAGACAATAGATTTTGCCCCCAAACATTTAAGTAACTACCTGAAATGTATATGGGACAAATACTCAACTTAAAAAAAATGAGTATCTAGAGGCTAGATTAAAATAAGGAAGCTGTTAACCTCCATGATCTTCTTTTCATCCCTGAGTAACTGAGTGACTTCTCCACTCTGGTAAAGACTGCTGAGACACTCTGAATAGTGTGAAACCCAGCCTGGGGTTTGCCATCCTCATTCTCATTGCAATCAGTGAATTTTTTAGTTCCTAACTCTTACATGTAAGAAACACTTAGAGATTACCGATCATTTAAAATCTCATATGAACAGTTTATTTCATAAAAGCAGCTAGACACACAGAAAAAAAAGCAGTTTAAGAAAAGGGATTATGTGGGGAGATGGAATGTTTAAAAAAAACTATCAGTATCCTCATGGAGACAAAACAAATTCCAGAAACAAGGCAAACTTTTATTTAAAAAAAAAACAAAAATGAGCTCTGGAAAATGAAAAATTTGATAGAAGGATTATAAGAAAAAATTGAAGAAGTTCCCTGGAAGTGGAGCAAATATCAGAAGGTGGGAAATAAAAGAAGAAAATTAGAGGACTAATCCAGGAGGTGCAATATCAGAAAATAGAAATTTCAGGGAGAGAGAACAAAAATGGAGGGAAGGAAATTATCAGAGACTTCATGAATATTTCCCCAAACTGAAAGACCCAGATTTCCAGATAGGAAAGGCCCAGCCACCAAGTGCCAAACGTGATGGGTGAAAATAACACACCTCAAGATACGTCACTGTGAAAGCACAGAACATTGGGTACAAAAAAAGATCCTACGTATTTGCAGAGATGTAACAAAAGACAATCACTGAAAAAGGATCTGGAATCAAACTGGCACCGGACTTGTCACCAACAGCGCTGGAAGCTAGAAGGTATTGAAACAATACCTCACAACTCTGAAGGGAGATTATCTCCAAACTAGATTTCTAAACCCAGACAAACTATCAAATAAGTGGAAAGTAGTTAGAAGTATTAGGAGTGGGAGCTGGAGGAGGGGGCGCATCTTCAAAAATGCAAGATTTCAAAAAATGTATCTCTCATGCACTGGTTTTCAGAAGACGACTGGGGAATATATCCTATCCCAAAAAGACAGTAACAAAAGTACTGGGAAGCGAGTGAGATTTAGAAAGTGGACTCAACTTAGAAGCGAAGGGAATCCCCATGAAGATGAAGAGATTTTCCAGGATGATAACTCTGTGAAATGGAAAGCGACTAGGCTAGATCAGAGTTTCAGCAGAGACTTATTCTCGGGGATGAAGTTAGGGAGGTATGAGGTAGCTGAAATTATGTAGAAGAGGAAAAGTTATGATATCATGTTAATTCATGGCTCAGCTGTGAATAGCACTTATGAAGCCATAAAAGAAACATTGGATATTGATTCAACCAATGTGCTCTCTGTTGGGAAGAAGGCTGGAAATGTGCAAGAAAGCTACTCATTTCCCTCAGGAAGGAGTTAGTGATCTCTAAAACTAAAAGTCAGTCAGAAGAAACAGAAGCAAGCTGTTTAGGAATGAAAGAAAGAAGCATTAAAATAATCAGCTAAAAGAATGAAAAGTAGTTGCCTCTGTAGAGCAAGGAAATGGAGGATTAGAGATGGGCTGGGAATTGATGTTTCTGTTAACTGCTGATGAATTGTGTGATAAATGTGAAAATTAAATTGAGAAAAGCCGTTTGATATTTCTAAAACTACTTCTTCTAGTAAATAAGAATTATAACAGTTAAAGATCATTTGATTTTTAATGCTCAAATTTCTGTTTTCTCTTGGCTGCTTTGTTTTTTTGGAAGGGCTGTTTGGGGTGGAGGTTGGTTACCATTAATTTGCTTTAATCGATGAATTTATTTGGCTTCTCTCATAATTTAAAAAGTGACCTTACTAAATAAAGCATTTAAAATGTGTTCCAGGTGTGGCTTTAGCTGTTATTCTCTGTAACACCCGGCATATTAGTGACCATGTTTTCCTAGAAGCTGCAAAGGTAAATGTTTTAAATAGTGTTTTGTTAGAACTTTATAAAGGATGAATTGTAAAGAAGAATGGATCTTAAATGCAGAAAGAGAATGGGTTAAATTGGCCTTAGGAATGGAAAGGAAGTTACTTTTTTGGTTTACCTTCTACTTTGGCATAAAAGTAACTCACCATGATTTTTCAAATGTTTGTGAGCTATGAATCCTTTCATATTCATAATATACATACTGTATCTGTATCATACGTATCTGAAGGTAACATAATTGTGACAGCATAGATAAAATGTGGCTCCATGAATTTTTTTAAACACTATTTTATTGAGTTATAGTCATTTTACAATGTTGTGTCAAACTCCAGTGTAGAGCACAATTTTTCAGTTACACATGAACATACATATATTCATTGTACTCTGTGCATTTTTTTAATGGACAAGTACTGGTTTATTTGGAGTGCTGGCCTGTTGGAGGTCCAGACTTTGCAATATGAGTTCTGAAGAACTCACATTAATACAGATATCAATGTCTATTTTATAGTAGCTGTTGTAATTATGCCAAACTCTGTATGTACTGAATAGAATATGTCTGTAAATCTTTAAATCTGGTTATTTCTATACTGCTCAGTGGTGAACAGTTTTAATTTCTGTAGTACTGTAAGTGTACTCCTGCTAGAAATAATTTCCTGTATTATTCTCTGCTCCCCCAACCCTTTTCCCATTTTGTTAGGTCCTTATTCTGTTATTTAAGCAAACAAAAGTGAAATTCTGTTTTTTTCATCAGGCTCTGACAAGTCAATTGACGGATAAAGAGCTAGCTCAGGGGAGACTTTACCCACCACTTGCTAATATTCAGGAAGTTTCTCTTAACATTGCTATTAAAGTAAGTAATAATTTATACCTTTTCACATAAATTTTAATGGCGTTTTCTTATGCAAGTATCACTAGTTTTTTAGAGAAAAATTGAAAACATTTAGAGGGAGCAAACGAGAAATTTTAGGTCACCCATATTTTTACTACCAGAATATAACCCACATTATTAATTTGGGTTTGTTGCTTTCTAGTCTTACTTCCCAAACACATATTACATATGTACACACGTGCAGTCACCTGTGCCTGTTTTTAAAATTGGTTTCTTGCTGCATTTTTTTCCACTTAATATCTTGTACGCCTTTTCCCATGCAAATCAGTAATAATTCTCCTGATCATTAATGCTTTGTGGAATTCTTTTTGTTATACTTTGTTTAACCATTTTTCTTTTTGGGGGACATTTAGCATCTTTCATTTTATTAGAAATAATACTGTAGTGAACATCCTTGGATGTTCTTATATGCAGTCTTTATGTGCATATGTGGTTGTTTTTTTCTTAAGATAAATTTCCTAAGAACAAAAGGATTAACATGGTAAGGCTTCTGATACACATACATTGCCAATGATTCTTCAGAAAAGTATTGATTTACATTGCACCTGTTAGATATGAGTGTATGTTTTCCCATACCTCTGCCAATACTTAGAATTTTTTTAATTTTTCATATTTAATAGGTAAAAATTGTATTTTATTTTTACTTAAAGCATTTTACTAATCTGAAGGATTTTTTATACTTATTGAACAATGACATTTCTTCCATATTTGTCCTCTGCTTTCTAATACTGGGCTCTTTAAATATTAAGGGCAATGATCCTTCTGTTTGTTATGGCACAAGTATTGTCCCATTTGTCATATATTTTAATTTTGGAATTGTTTGATATACCATTTTTTGAAAAATTAATGGAATGATCTGTTTATTTTATGGATTCTTTCCTATGTCTTATGAATGTTAATGCTTTCTCCCACTCCAAAATCATAAATACCTACCTACATTTTCTAATCACATATAATTTTTTAATCCCTGTGAGATTTTAGTGTGTGATGTGAAACAGAGAAACTTTTTTTTTTTTTCTGGGTAGTTAACTAGTTGCCCCAGCACCAATTGATTGAGAATGCTCCTTGTATTAACATAAAAGCCTACACAAGTAATCTTTTATATTTTTCAGGTTACAGAATACCTGTACGCTAATAAAATGGCTTTCCGATACCCAGAACCCGAGGACAAGGCCAAATTCATTCGAGAACGAATATGGCGAAGCGAATATGATTCCCTGCTGCCGGATGTGTATGACTGGCCCGAGTCTGGGTCGTGCCCGCCCCCGATAGCGGAGTAGAAGCACGGCACGGAGAAGTACTTTCCATGCTTCACGGAACTCTTTTTTTCCAGACAGAAAGCGATAATGTTATCAAATTCATGGGTTTTTCTGTGTTTTTGTTCTCCCCCACCACTTTATTTTGCCCCGTACGCGGTAGGCGTTGACTACGTTGTCAATGCCTGCAGGCACCCTGCAATCAGATGACCATATTGCTTTCATTTCTGATTTCTGACTCATACCACATCAAAGAGAGATTAAAAATGTACTTGTGAATGTCTTCACTTGTGCTCTTGTTCACTGTTGCCAGAGTATTTGCTACTGCCTAGTACAGCTCATGGTCTTCTCTAACCCAGCTCTTTTAGGGCTACAAAGATAGAAATTTACTTCTATGCCTATGAGTACAGAATTTTGAGAAGAAGCCAAATTTAACCTAATTCTAAGGACAAATTGTCAATATTGAGAAATGTTCTTTTATTTCTGCTTTATTTTACCTTCCTGTTCAGCAGGTCCCTTCCAGCAGATAGATGGAGAGAAATATGAAAAATCTACCCTATTATTTATCTTCTGAAACTGAAACTTAACATTAGAGAAATGGGAGCTACCACTGTCTTTAGACAGATAAACAAAATAGTCTTTGTTTCCAGTAGTATATAAAAATCACAGTGTAACTTTAAAATAAAGGTAGTATCTTAAATTTAATTGCTTCAGTTATGCTGCTTTATTGCCCAACTAGAAATTTAGGTTTGCTTATTAGGAGAAACAAATATTTTCATTTTCTTTACTTCTAGATGATTCTGAAGAGGGGTAAATGATACTTAATGCATAAATTATGATTTTGACATCGTGTGACTTTTGACGAATTAGTCATATGTTTCACATCTAAATGAGCCGTATTTAGACTCACATTGACTGGAGAGTCCGTACTCCTAAAGAGCAGAGATGCTCTTTATTACTTGAGATAATTTTGGAATGTTCAGATGATACATTCCTTTGAATATCATTAGTAGTGACAACTCTTTGTCCACTGAAGATGGATTTAATTTTTTGAAACCATCAAAATTAATTTAGAGCTAAGTAGGGATGAATAAGAGAGGTGTTCAGACCAGTAAATGCCATTTTAATTGCAGTAAAATGGGTAACAGTTGGCTAGTGAGACCAATTTTTTCATGTGGCTGACATTGGAGAGTTCTAAGGGAAAATCCAAAAGCATTTTGAGTGGTAGTTTGCTATATATAAGCCTGACACAGTTGCTTTGGGGAAACAAGCAAAACTTTTAAATGCCCATTCTAGAAATCTTAACAACAAGAAATTATTCATAGCTACATACCAGTGTGCACATTATTTGATATTTCCCTCCACAGTCCTTGATAGGTTAGGTGTGATTCTGTATGGGGATATAAGGGCTTCATTTTTATGTTCCTCTTTCCTTTTACTTATAGGTAAAGATTGATTCATAATAATTTTGAATATAATTCAGTGTTTTAAGAATGCTAGAAATGGCATTGCCATATATAGCATGGGGAAATGCAAATGGTTAAACCCTCATAACAGATGAGTCAAGTCAGAGGTCTGTTATATAAACCTGTTTCGTAAAATAAGCAATCAGGTCACAATTTGTTTCAATTAAATATGAAAGGTTTATGTTTTTCATGTTGCCTTTGTCAAAACAAAATCACCCATAAAAATATTCTCTGAAATCTTGGTTTTAGTTTAACATTACGAGTGTAATAATTACAAACCTGTTGTTTGCTTTAATGGTTATTGAAGGCAGGATCATACTGGATTAAAGTAATTTTACTAGAATGTTTGCTTATTAAATATGTCTAATACAGTATTCATGAAAATTATAAATATTTTAGGGAAAAACAAGGCCAAATGGTATATAGCCTGCTTATTTAAATAAGCCAGCAATCATATATGTTTAAAAGCTACCTGTTTTCCTTATGTGTTACTTACTAGTATTTTAATAAGTAACAGTTTTTGGATGTAAATTAAAGAATGTCTTAGTATTTATACTAAGAATACAGGCAGGAACCATCAGCAAGTTGGAAAAGAAACTACATTTGGACCTTCTATAGAAACTCTGATCTAGCAAGAAGGTAATTGTTTTGAAAAACAGCAATGGACAGTCATTTTCATTCTTTTGAAGAAGAAATTCTGTAGTCTGTCAAATTACTTAATAGAGAAAAATGAGAATACCTGTTTTTCTAATCTGAGACCACTACCTGTACTGTGAAACAAATTGGATAACCAGTGAGTGTGTTAGGTTTATTGACTATAATGGGTAAAGTGTTCAAGATTTTGGTTAAAATCTTTTTAAGGGATGGATTCTTAACCGGGAAGTTGCCACCAAATCACTGTGAAGCTTCTTTAAAATGCAGATGCCTCGCCCCCCTTGTTCCCCTGTGGATCACCAGGAGCAGAACTGTGGCAGGTGTGTTTTCATTAGGTCCCCAGGTGGTTCTGCTGCACACACTTCCCCTGCCCTCCCATTCGCCACCTTCAGTGGACATCAGAATCATCGGGAGAGCTATCCGATTCCTCCTGCTGATGCTGTGCATCAGGGGCAGGCCTGAGATTTGGCATTTCTGACAAGGTGCATCTCCCAGGTGATGCCCATTCTCTTGGCACAGAGTGGCACTGCTCCACAGTACTGAGCAGTGTGTGTGTGTGTGTGTGTGTGTGTGTGAATTTAGTGCTCAGATAGTATATATTTCCTATGAAAACCATAACTGATAATGTGTTCTCACCTGGAATCTTTTTGTTATGTACAACCTATGTAAGATGTTCAGAAGAACAAAAATAAAGAAATTTTAAACAGATTTTTCTGAAAATATGTAACTAGAATACTGCTCAATTCTAAATTAGATTTTTAATATGCTTGTTAAGTAAAACCTAGCAACCAGTTTTCATTTATACAAGATTTGCTATCAAGTGGATATTTGTTTTCTATTATTGGTTATCTTATGATATGACTTACCCTATCCTTTGTCTTTTCTTTAAATTATTAGCCTCTGGGGCAATATGATTCTACATTCTCTTTTGCAAAGGCATTGCCAGTAAATCAAGGCAAAGCACAGTAATCATTAAGGAGTGTGGAGCATTATTTACTCTCAGATAACTGAGAAAGCCCAAAGGGGGTGGTAAGGGAGTGGGAAAAGTCTTGCCTTAGAAAAAATACTTCATCCAGATGCTCCTGTAGCTTTTCCCAAGCCCATTCGGTATCCCTCAAAAAGAACCTCTTCAAAGCCTGAACAGCTCCAGGGTTCTGCTGAATTCACCAAAATGGGCCAGCTCTGTTGAGCATACATAATACTTGTGAACATTAATAAAAGGCTTAAAACTCTCTAGTGGAATCCCTTTGAAGGGACTGTCCTAAAGAATGAAGGAGCACCAGTATCATATTTTCATCCAAGACAGGTACAGGCACATTGCTGACTTCATAGAAAACGGCAGAGATATTCATTATCTGCTTTGGCTCTCAATCAAATTGTGATTTGCACTTCGATGTGCATCTGAATGTTAAAATGAATTAAGTCCTCCACAGACAAGTTTAAAAAGGAACATACTTAATATTTAAAATATTCAGGATAATTCGACTATGGAAAACTTACCCCTTATTTGAAATCAAGATGTTTTAATAAAAGTGGAGAAAAAGCTCTGCCTTGTTCCAAATTTTATAAATTCAACTGGGCCTTATTAGGACATGACTCTTACTGCATAATTCCCTTAATCCTTGCCAGGAGTTACTCAGATAAACCAGTGATTAGATTTTAAAACAATAATTATTTTCCTTACTTGGATAAGGAAAGTAGTGCTCAGTAAGTCAGGGGATGGAAATGTGTGCATAGTTCAGTTGTATAAAATACACAAATTAAGTTAAATGACTTGTATGCTTTGCATCTTTCTGTAACAGTTTTTGCCAATAAACTGATTCTTTTTCATATGGCTATTTAACTGATCTTGTTTTTCCAAATAAAAACTTATTTGCCACTTTGCTCTTTGGGCAATCACCCCTCCATTCAGCACACTTTTAAAAGTTTTAAGACGAAGGGGAAAGTTATGGGTATGTATTCCCCAGTTTTCAGAATGTCCTTTTATGTTCTAGGAAAACCATTCTCCCTGACTTTCCTAATTTTACGGGTATATTCTCGCAAGTCATTGATTCCCATATAGTCATTGAATTATCACCAACACGTTAGGTATATTCAGTTAGCAAATAATGATAAACTAAATTCCTGGATTGCACTCTACTCTGTGCTGGGCTTTCTTCTAATCATCTACATGTGTCAGCATATTTAATCTTCAAAATCACCTTCTGTCACTGTCTCTTTTACAAAGAAGGAGACATTAACAGGTTAAAGAGATTTTCCCCAACTTCTCTGCTGTTGAGAAGCAGAGCCCTGTCTCACCTCAGACCTCAGCGATTTTATCTGGATCTTAAATACCTTATCTTTAAGAATCGTTAGTTCAGATGAAAATTTTTCACTTCTTATAAGGTTAGTCTTAGGTCCTTTTAAATATGTTTTACCAGTTCATTTGATTTTAACTTTGTTCCCATTTATAATCCAAATACAATATAAACCTATTTAATTCATTAGTCTTAAGCATTTCAAGTATTGGATATAAACATAAAAGATTTGGTTTTGAATTTGATAAATTCCACCAAAAATTCCAATCAACTAACATCTTTCGATCTTGTAATCTTCACAAAACCAACTGCTATCACTGTGCAAATCAGTTTCAATAGTTCTTATATACTTCGTGAATCAGCCAATGTCAGTATGAATTTGAATTGTAAGATATATTTTAAATGATATCTATTGTATTATGTGTATATCCGTAATTTTTTCCATTAAAAGGTTAGAACAGAAAGAAGTAATATAAAATGTATGTGTGGAACAAGGAATATCTGAAACCGATTTTAGCTAAGTGGTCGACAAAATAAAATTTCTGCCTAGGGTTTTATTATACTTTACCTAATGACCTTAAAATTAACTGAAATTGAAACCATAGTTTTGCAATTAATATTGTGTTCCCTTTGATAACATCCCAAGCATTAATTGTTGCCTTGAAGGAAGCCACACAGCAAAAGTCATTGCTTAGCCTTACTCATCTTTGTATTTAAGATAAAAAGATGGAATAGTCTTCTATTCCTGTTATGAAGCTGCTGGATACTTGAACCACCACGAGCATTTGGGCAAAAATCAGTGCATCCAGCATTGACCTGGGACAGGTCATGACTTTTTTGAAAGTTTCAATTTAAACCGAAAGACTTTTTCCCCGCGTGGTTTGTAATTACCAGGTGCATTTCGGGCTGTTCACTCGCGCGTCCGGCAGGCTATGCTGCAAGCTCGCTAAGAACACACCTGTGCCGCCCAGCACGGAGCTTCAGATTTTCAGCAAACATTCCGGTGTATCCCTGGAACTGGAAAGTGGAATCAAGCGGAGACTCAGGATCTATAGTAATACTAGTTGGATCTCTGATTCTAAAGCACCTCAAGCTTAAACTTTTAGATTTAGTGATTAAGTTGGAAAGATCCACCCTCACAAAAGAACCGACGTTACACAAACATTACACAAAGATACGCAAGAGCAAAGCATCTGGGAAAACACTTGTTTGAAAACAAAAAGCAGAACAGTAGACGTTTTTCACTTTGGGCGCTAGGGTCCTCGCGGGTTACCGCCACCACCTTACC